GTTTATTTATGATTATGTTATCTTTGATTATTCAGCTGTGCCAGCAATAAAAGTCATCAGGCGAAGCTATATAGGTGAAACATTAATCACTTTTGAAACTCTCCAGCTCGCTTTTATCGACAGAAAACGCCAAACATGAAGGATTACTTTCTAATTTTCGACTAATAACATTTCGCGAGACGTTTGTTTATCATTCCAAGCCTTGGGAGAGTCTGTCGGTTCAGTGGCCATTGTTGTTCGGCGTTTTAACCCAGATTTATTAAGAGGTGCTTTATCTGATAAGATCAACAGACGTTTAATAGTTTACCAAAAAATGTAAAAACAGCTAGAGGATTACGGAATGATTATTCAAAATGGAAAAAAATAAATCAATCACTGCTTTGTTAAGTTTATACAAACATGCCAAGGACATATCATATGATTAACTGAACATTTCTTTTTAATTATATAATTTGACTCCATATTCACCTCGAAACCTTGATGTATAATCAGGATTGATTTTACTATTCGCGAGCGTTAATTTCTCAGCCGAATCTATAGTAGTATAACGCAGTTACAACTGCTTTCAAATTAATTTGTGTTAACGGCCGAGAAAGATACTTGCAAGAAAGATGAATAAAGAAGCTCGCGTTGTAACCGGTCTATATAGCTACAGTTGCATGTGCAGGAAAGAACGATAGTTGATCATAAGATATTTGAAACATTCACTTTGAATTCACGAAGAGTGTGCATGAATTTAAATCGAATTTTCATCCGTATATAGCTCAAGTTTCTAAATGATTCTGAGGTGTCCTGCAAATGTATAACTTGTTAATTTTGATAACTACAAGTACAAACCAGAGAAATACGAGTATATATGAATCTCAAACAATAGTGAAGACATGCATGTCTGCCTCTTTCCTTTCCACTGTATTTTTAGCGTAAAACTTACTGTCCAGCTAATGCAAAGACAAAACAATGATTCGAAATCAAAGATGAATAACAATGATTACTTTGTCCCTCAAATATCTGCATACCTTGCCCACGTTTAGTAAACGATTCCAAAGTCGAGAAATGCCAAAATTCATCGGGCCATTTTTCATGAGTTTAATTAAAAGCCTCGGTGTCAATAAAATGATTAATAGAGCTCTATTTGCGGTAAATGTTTCCTTCAAGAATTTGATTATAATTGCATTTTTCCTGTAAACACATTTACGAGGAGATTTTTGCTAATGATATTGTTAATTTCATCTGTTTTACAGAGAATTTGAAAAATTATATTCAAGACACAATATATGTAAGCTGTCTAAATAAAGCATTTTCCGTTCTGGATGAAATGAAACTCATACAACCACGGAATGTCAAAGAAACGGAACTCAGCTCGACTCAAAAATCGAAATCATAAACTGATAAACTCCCAAAATAAACTGAATTGCATGCAAAAACTTCAAAGTGTGGAAGCATATTCGTTACATATACAAACACAAAGGAATATGCCGGCGACTTATTTACCTTGAGGTATTTCTAATTTTACATTATGTAACAGACTCTTTTTCAATTACGATTTCAATTAGTATATGTATAGGTCTGCCTGCCTATGCACTTGACATATGCTTAATGTTGGGACTTCAAAACAGCCCCACCTTCGCTATAATTATCTTAATGATCGGTCAGTGAACTCTATAATGCAACTGGAACGATAATAGATCAGTTTAAAACCTGCATGGGGCCAGTTGTATCAAGACCATTTAGCTTAAACGGTGGATAAGTTCGAAATAGAAAGCAAGTCTATCGTTTTATTCAACAAGCAAACTAAATGTTTTTAATCTTAATACAAAGATACTGTTTACAACTACATATTCAGTGCATAATATTCAAGTTGACTCATTCAAGAGAGATGAAAGAGTATTATTTATATTTGACTTATCCACCGTTCAGCTAAACGGGCTTGATACAACCGGCCCCAGTTCAACACGAATGCAATCTATCCATGAAGGCAGGGGGGTGTGTCTGAAATAAGTCAATTTTTGTATATAAATTTTTATATATATTTAAATATCCGAAGGCGTCAATGCAACCTGCTTACTAGTAGTGTTTGAAATTAATCTGCATTCATTGTCGTTGGCATTAGTGCCTTATCGTTAAAATTTGATTGGCTACCGCCAAGCTCTTTTGCATGCATTATTGATTAATTCCGGTGAACTCTTAATACCAAAGTTAAACAGGAGGCAAATTTTATTATTTCCTAATTGCAATGAAGTATTTCAACTAATCATTCGCAGTTATTGCCAGCGTTGTGTGGGAACTCTAGAATGAATGTTTATGAGACACCTTGCTGAGCGAAATCCATGCTGTATGATGAACATACGTTATATTTGAAAAAAATGCCTTGCCTTTGCGGAGTTTGTCGAAATTCGCACAAATAAACCTGGTCAAACATTGAAATCCTTACGTTTGTCAATAAATAGCTAGCCGTAGTCGTAGCCGCTAAAGAACAACGGCTTGAATCGCCAGAAAATATGGCCGAAAATCGTGCAGAATATACCAATAGAATCGCTCCGGAGCCTGCCCATGACTTCAGGGAATCGAGGAAAAAACACAAAGAACGCAATCGAGAGGATACCCTAAGAATACACACAGGTGCAAAGAGAGTGCAGGTTGAAATTTCATTTTGTTGTTTTTAAAACGTGTAGACGAAGTGCTTTTGTCAGTGTTGTGTTTTCAGTGAGCATTCATCAGTACGAACTACGAATCTAAATGATTTGTATATAACGGTTTCATTAATCCTACGATTGCCGATAATGCTAGAAGGAGTGGATCTTAATAATTTATTTGGAAATATAAGCATGTCATAATGATATAGTACGTAGTAGTTATATCATTGATCTAGAGTATTATAGCTAATATATAATATATACTAATACATATATCGTAAAACAAAAGCGTATTCAACGATTTATCTGGCAAGAAAGTTTTGAAATGGTGAAGGTTAAAACTATATTAACACAAATTGAGCTACTGCATTGTAATAATTGTCGTATTTTTTTGTTTTCTGGCTAAAATAGCATTTGATTTGGCCATTAGCAATATTTATTTTTTGGAAAGCTTTTCAGCTAAGAATTTCTCCTAAGTAAAGAGGTTTTGACATTGATTCAAACAGTGATATGGCTATGTACTAGCTATAGTCGTTATTCATAATAAACTTGAGATAATTTACAGTACTCCCACAAACGCTGGGGGAGCTCATTGATCGCATTCATGCAAAACATGGCCATCTGTTGTCTGTTGTTGAAATATATTGTGCAAACCTTTACACCGGTGATGACGACGATATAAAGATATTGGTCATTCAGAGGAAATATATGATGATTATTTTGTTGATACAACTAAAGTACAGAACTACTTTAATGCGTATTGTTTGGCATAAATACATTTCGAAAGTAACTTATAAGTTATAATTTTTAATTTTTTTTTATCTCACTAACTTCCGTTCTCAATATTATTTTTTAACTTTGCTAACTTATTTTGCATACCGAAATATTAAAAAACATCTTAGTGTGAAAGCAAAGCAAAGCTCGTTTTTTAAATAATCCTTTACGAATTTAAATTTTGAATTATTTTTGAATTTAATGAATTTGCCATAAGTTACGTACTATCATTGTAAGCATATGATAGGATTTTGAACAGGACTTACGTCCCAATTGCAACAAAACCCTTAAAGTACACAGCGATAAATATTATACACCAAACCGGGCGACTTTTGTAATAACAGCTAACAGTGTCGTTCAGCTTTTATGTAAAAATACATTATTGACATGTACCTCGCAAAAAGGTCCCAGTGGAACTTTATCATGGGAGAGGTCTAATGCATGTACTTTCAAGAAGTTACTTTCTGTTTTAGATCAAACAAGGCTGGACGGAGATGAAAGATCCAATTGAAAATGTCACCGGGGTACATCCCATCCCCCCGACACCTATGAACGTTCACTGTGTGTGGTGCAACAAAGATGTTATCACGGAGTTGAGATACGTCTCTGGGGGGTTAACGTGGATCGTATCGTGCATTCTCGCCTCGTTCGGAGGAATTTTCGGTTGCTGTTTGCTGCCTTTCTACATCAAAACTGTCAAAGATATTGTGCACTGCTGCCCCAAATGTCATTCCTATCTCGCCGTGTACTACAGAATTTAGGTGTTCTCTTAATCCCTTTCGGCATCACACAACCAGAATTTTGTTGGAACTCAGAATTGATAGCGGGTCAGAATCGATAGCGTTTGTGCTGGAAGCTCACCATAAAGCCACCGAAACACGTATTTAGAAGCACTGTGGGCCAGCTATATAGTGAAATTTTCATTGAGGCAGGAAAGCCAGGAATTATTCTGCCAGGAAAAGTTTACAGTTCCATGATATTATCATGAGCATACTTTTAGCTCTGATGCATTTTCCAAATGGTTTACTTCGACGTTGCTGAATTGTCATCCTTAATCTAATTTGAATTTATCAAAATTTAAGTAGTTAAAGCGGAGTTTAAATGTTGTTTCTTGTTGATTAAGAATAAACTAACTTTGGACTCCGAAAGTGTTCACAGTTTAACTACAGAAATCTTATTGCATCCGTTGAAATATTCCTTTGCTAAAAGGCTAAAATAAGACAATTTTATGGCACAAAATGTAATCAGTTTCTTTTAAATTGCAACCGTTTGGTTCCGAATAAAAAAAGCCTAACAAATTCAAGGAGGTGCTTCATATAAATCCCGTACCCAGGGCATTTTGTATTTTACATGACTATGGATAAAGTACTTGGCAAAATTATAGCCATAACAGCATGCTGTCAATCAGCTGTAACTTTACCCAATCACAAACTGAGCTTCCGGGTAGAAATGTTTGATTTGTAAGCTGTTTGTCTGCTGTTTTATTGGTTAACCCACAGTTTATGGATAGAACATCGGTTGCTCCACATTTATATCGTATAACCCCCATCAAAAATCAAGTGTTTCTCCCCCCTGTTTATTGCAAAACCGCTGATTAATTAAAATATTTTAAATTCAAGATGGCGGTCTTTCGTTTAATAACAACAATGAATCGAAGGCTGTAAATCGCTGCATATTGTGCCGATGGTCGCGATTTTCACTATTATACGAATTCGGATACCACGTCTATGTACACATCAAGTTATTTTTATCGTGGCGTAAAGAAGAAGAGTTTTTTTGATGAATTACCGTACAGCTTGCTGGCGACGAAGAACATCCCATTACAGAAATCTAGCGGCAATCTATATTTAACTGTGGGTAGCGATAATAATTATGCGTGGTCTACGGGGAATTTCTGCTTTCGGCCAAAGAACGAGGATCGGAACAAGTTAGGACAAAACGGCATCATGGCACAACTTATATACTACGGTAAAAAAAATATGTCCTTCGATATCATTAGACCATCATGTTGTTTACGTCCAATGAATATGCATAAAATTCAGCTGCATGCTGTCTTTAATATTTACAGCCGCCATCTACGACTGTTAATAATCCTTTTAGTTACGCTTGATATGTTCCTAACAAGAGATCTCAAGGCCATTGTCACATTAACAATTCATACGATCATGATTATACGAATATAATATATGACCTTCTCATGAATCATATTTTGCTAACAATTAGAAGTTCCGCCAAAGAAATATTAAAAATTGGATTCGATTTGTATAGTGCAAAAATGGGCATTTTTAAAGGACAAATTCTGATATATATTAAACGTCACAGAAAGTCAATATTCAAAACTATTTTGGGCACGTTGAAACATGTTTGGTATTTCATTTTAAACTGTACTGTGTCAGGTCTATGAATAGATAGAATGTAATACGTCTCCATTTGCTGTGGTCCGGATTACTGAAAGTTGTGCTGCCTCTCCAAGCTAACCTATCCCAGTTATTATGATTGTGATTTTCAATACTTCCTGGCTTTCACTTTCCAAATATGTGGTCCACTTTAGTGTAAACAACATGAAGTGGCAGGTTGAAGCAGGATAGGAGGAGACTTGACAATGCATCTTGGGATGGTTTAAATTTAAACAATGAAGAATGTCCCAAAAACAACCCCATGATGCATTGTAAATACTGCTATTATTATTAACATTATTATTATCACTGCAACCTCAAAATGACTGATCAAAATGGCTATTAGTTTGCATGCTGTATTGCAGCATATTGTTTGCTATAATTTGTAATGGCTATATAAGAGTAAATACTAAATTACCCTGTGTTGAAATTTCCCCAATGTGTGATCCAAGGGCATGCTTATACTCTCAAAGCCAGTCCAGTTCAACACCTCATAGCCATTATTCATCATTTTTCGTAAAAAAATCAAGATTGAGCTGTCACAATACCTTTTGGTTTGACCCATGGGTTATTTGTGGTCCTGGGTCCTTTAAAAATGTGCATAGGTACTCTGCAAGAAATAAGAACTCTCTTTAATACTGAGGTATTCTCCGTCTGATGCAAGACATTTTTTTGTGACTGGCAGGATTTTGAGTTTTGAATCATAAATTTTTCTTAAGCGTCAGAATCTCGTCTCAGAGGGAAAATCCGAAGAATCGAAAATGCGCTGGAAGCAGATCCTGTAGACGTTGACACGCTGGGGTATTTGGCTATAACTGGAGACGGTTTAATAAACAATGATATACGCACAAAAGTTTGGCCAAAACTACTGCTTGTTAATGTTTATGATATCCCCAAGCCCACTGGTGGGCCAAAGAAAAGAAGACAGCACTGTTAGTATCATTAATGTAAAACTAAGACAGTATCATGCAGTTACTATAAATGATTGAAAAATTTACTGGTGTCCATCTTGAATGATCCCTTATAAATCAAATTTGCTCTCATTGAGATAACCAAAGATGCCCTAATAGACTGTGCACCATTGTTGTTGATGGGAAAGAAAAACTATTTCTCATATAATAAATTAGAATAAAAAGCTTTTCACTCTCTAAATTTGCATGGAAAAAGCTTATCTAAGCCATTCAACATGGCTGCCATATTGCCTCATTTGATGTTCAAATCAAGGTACATAATATATAATAATGTGTAATTTAAGGTACATAAAAAAACGGTGAGCCGTTTAAAAACCACAGTTTTTGCTTCATTGATTTTCAGCTTTTGAGGAAGAAAAGGTGTTTAGAAAAAACAAATACTGGAATCAAGTCCATTTGGATGTCAAGCGTTCTCAACGAAGATTTCCTCCAAGTACAAATAAATAACAGTTTCCCCCTCGCCATTTTATAGATAGAATCAACTTTCAAAGTTGTGTTACTGCATGATACATAAATATGCCCCTTGAACCAAACGGCATAGTTAAGATAGAACAAAAAAGTTTCCCATCAATTTCGGGTGAGCGGACGAACAAAATATGAAGTGCCTTTTCTTCGTTTTGACTAGATCTTCGAGTGTCGAGGCGGACAGCTTTGCAGGGTCAAGTGATAAACGTGATTATGCGAGTTTTGTGTAGAAATCCAGAACTTCATTATTATCAAGTGAGCATGATTTCCTCGTTGTGATTCTGTTATCAGGGGACAGGGACATGTGTTGGTGGGGTAGGGGTTGTAGGCCTTCGCGTGTGGGTGGGGGGTAGGCCTACGCGTGTGCGTGGCGGGGGGGGGGTAGGGCTACGCGTGTGGGTGGGGGGTAGGCCTACGCGTGTGGGTGGATGGGGGTTAGGGGGTGGTGTTAGGCCTCACTGTGTGTGAGAGGGTTGGTCTTCCCATGTGGGTGGAGTGCTCGTGTCATAATATAACGGTTATAACTCGTTGAGACTGAAGATAACATTATTACAGGGTTATCATGATGTGGCGGTCACTCTCCTGTTGGTTAATGGGGAGGAACTGGCCACAGCTCTCTTGGAACAGATATCTTTACACCAACTGAGGTACAGTATTTTCCACCAAACTTTGCGGCGTCTTCATTCCAAGTTGCTCTTTCCAGTGTGGTATTATTGGATATTTCTCATCTTGCCTAGAAAATATCAACTGCAACTGGACTCATCCGTTTCATCATTCGACCCAAAAGTATGCGTGTCCAGTTTCATATATTTCAGTCATCGTGAGCGTGCGTCATTGACTGCAATATATAAAACTGGACACACATACTTCTGGATTCACCTAGGCCACATTCCACTGTTTTTTAGAGACTTTATGGATCATAACATGGAAAGAACGAGCCAGATGCTTGCCTTGATTCACGCCATTATCGAAGCCGCTGATGCGACGCTGGAACGTTTTCTTAGAAGGTAGGGTGGATAATAAAATCGATCTGTGATCTTTAATATAATACACTGTTTTATCGGCCTCGTTTTCAAAAATTCTTTCAGATGTGACGTGGGTCACATGTTCGCCCTAAGCTGGCTGATCACGTGGTTTGCACACGTCATCAACGATCCTGACACGATATTTCGTATATTCGACTTCTTTCTTGGAACGCATCCGTTGATGCCAATTTACTTGGGTGCAGCGGTAGGTACAGAAATTCACAACGCTCACAACACTATTTCTTAAGAATAGGCTGGTCTGTCGTTACCAGTAAGATCCAAGGGAACACCAGAAATATATTAGCCGCCATATTTGCTGAATTGGCGTGTAGTGTCAGTCTCGGTCAAGTCGGTACTCGGCTCTTCATCCTTCACCATCACCCAATGATTGACATACGTAACAGCATGCCGTTTTCATTGCAGTGTTTATCGAGGTCACCCCTCCGGAATAACGTCCTACAGACTTCCAAGTATTTCTTTTCAAATTGCCCAACCAGACCACCCTATATATAGGAAGTCTATATACATTTACAAGTCCTACGCCCCTCGACAGGAAAAATCCCCTACCCTTCCAACATGGCCGCCCTTCACTCCCGCCTCCGAATTGAAAAATACCAGGCTCACATGTTGGTCGCACTTCACAAATATACTTCTCAATTCCTAGCTCGTCATATCCCATCGCGATGAACTGTTATCATGCGAGTGTGAGATGAGTACCGTCCACCATTTTCTCTGCTCTCTCCCCCGTCACATTCCACAAAACCTTGAAAGACTCATCGAAGAGGCGCATGCGCTCTTCAAGAAATATTCTCCACAAAAACTCGAATCCGCCTCGAAAAGATACCTCAAAGAAAGGTGATCATTTGAAATGCTCTTTTAAATGAGACAGCAAAAAATATGCGTTTCAATTCAATGTTGTGTTTCTTTGTTCGTTTTCAGTTCTGCAGTAAAAATTCACGACAAATTTGTGAAGGAATTGTCGAACCAACGGCCCGACGTCGTACTGCGCCGTAGGCGTACGGCGTTGATATCTGCCAATCAAACGACTGACAGGTTGCAGCCGGAAGGGAACTCGGGTTCCTCCGGAATTTTCGTAAAACTTGCCTTTTGGGCCTTGTCCGCCGGTGTTGGGACAATGGCATTTTATGTCGCTACTGCTGCCAAGAAATGGATGTGAATAAAACATTCATGGCCAAATAATTACAAGCACGAATCCGGCATGAATTTCTCTCTGCCCTCAGAAGACGGTGGAAATATGGGCTTTATCACTGCGTGTCTTCGTTCCGAAAAATAAAGTTGATTTGACCAACTAAAGTACGTCCACGTCCAGCGGACGTGCAGTGTATCTCAAAGGCAATGGATCATTTTCAATAGTTCTGAAGCTGCTTGGCTTTGCTTTGTGGCTGGAAAATGCATGAACTTTATCCAAAATGGATGTAATTTGGATTAATACAACTTTCTCAATCTCGTTCCCCAAGCCAGCGATTCGTCTATCTGGCGAGGAAACAAAGGGTCTGGGATAATCCAAACCGGAAGCCAGAAATCCTGGCTTCCGGTTTGCAACGGTTTAATTGTATTTCAAAATTGAAACGACCAATCAGAATCATTCTGATTTCGATTATCCCAGAGCCTTTGTTTCCTCGCCAGAGAAATCGCGGGCTCGGGGAACGAGATTGCAAATTTATTAGGGTATACAAATTCGTCCTTTGAAAAGTAGTTGTACATGATTATGAGGAATTATTTATATGAATAATTTAAAGTGGTGGTGTGTCTACGTATTTTTCATGTTTTTCTGGGTGGAATTGTATAATTATATTACTTCCCAAGTGGAATTAGATATCAAAATGACCAAACAAAAACTTCTTTTCCCGCCATTTTGCAATTGACTGCTGCGCGATGCGTCCACGCGTGGGACACGCTAACTCAAATGCGACTTACGTCAGATCTGGACAGTTCTAACAGTCCTGACATAATATTCAATCCAGGCAAGATTCGGGGGGCGAATTACACAAAAAACAAAATCACAAATTTGCTTCTGAAGGATTTTCCTAATGGCGAATACACCTAGTAGTATTTCAAATTTCAATTTTCCCACTAACTACCAGAACAGGTCAACTTCATCAACAAAAATGAATTTTGACTACATTGGATTCAGGAAAGATTAAATTTTAATCAGTTTAATTGGTGTTGAAATAACGCTTTATATACAATACATTCTATTTACTCATTTTTATTTACAATATTTTCGAATATTATTACATTTCTTGAAAAGTACTAGAGGTTGTTTACATTGTAAACTATAATTTTACACCATTTCATATACATGAAAATATTTTACATCTTTTTTGGGCCACGAAGAACCCCCATTTACACGTGTTGCTATTTACAAATTACCCAATTGACGCGTCTGCTAATTTCATGCATATAATGTATGTACATATAAACATTGGAATCATATTTGTTTTTTTATAAAAATAATGTACACTACAATAATCTGTAATAAAAATTAAATATGTGTTAAATACATACGTATTTAATATACTATGCATATTCCGTAGGCTGTCTGGTTAACCTCGTACAAAGTACCTAAGCATTGTTCGAGTTTTTTTTCCATTTACGGCTATATTCACCGCTTGCACGAATTAGTTTTATTGGATTAATTCAAAGGACTAGACCAGGTTTGCGGGTGAAAATTACGTATACAAAAAATGCTTCGACATTAATCATCGATATATTTTTGCTCTTTAGTGGATTCGCTCTACAAACTCTAAAAAACTTGCTGAAATATTGTTGATTTCGCTGAAACACGACGTATTTCTGTTGTCATAATTTTCGCCCCAAAACTGGCCTAAAATTAACGCAAAAGCCAGCTCGTGGAAGAGTTTTTTAAAAGTAAACGCAGGCATCCATTCTCACCAGAATATCCTGATTTTTTGAGGCACGGTTAATCTGCGCTTGTGGACAGTTTTAGATAAATAAAACATTACAAAATGTCTTTGAGACAAATTTCCTTTAAAATTTCAATTATTGTCTTTGTTGTAGAAAGTCATTTTTTGTAGTGTTCACACTCTTAGTTCAGAAAGGGCACTCCCAAAATCAGCTGTGAGAAAGGCTAATTGCTTTTTGACATAAACCTTCTTCTACTAAAAGTGAAAAGAGTTTGGGCCGGATTCATGGTCAATGCAAGATGCCCTTTCATACTGATGCACCAAGCTCACGAATTAAGCTTCTTCGTTTCCAGAGAGATTTTCAATTTTCCACCTGAACCGTATGTGTAAAAGGTGCGACCGATGATTGTATTGGTGGCAACAACGTTGCTCTTTTATTTACAGTCATCGCCCTTTTCAACGGTGTCTTTTCGGTAACGTCACTTTTTTTCTCTTGAACTACGATATCCCATTTCGAGGATGTCTCGCCGTCCTCGCGCGACTCCCCGCGTTGCGCGGGAGGTTGCGTGCTCCTCACGAATGCTAAGTTGCTGTTGCAATCTTCGACGCCAGAACAAGCCGTGTTTTCGTGCAAAGAACTTGTGTCAATTGAGTGTTCTAGCTTATCTTTTTTCCCTGAGGCGACCACAACAGGAGTAACCTTCGTTTGTTTAGACGCCTTCCTTCGCACAACTGCGCTGTTTTTGCCGGCTAAGAGTTCGTTTGTGCCGTTTACTTCTGTATCCAAACACGTCGGATTTTTCTCGGTGATTTCATGAGCTAGATTCTTGTCTATTTCTCCGGAGTCGCTCGACGTTCCTGAAACGTCTTTTGCCTTTTCAGCACAGCTATTACCCGAGACGTACTTGTGTGCATTTTTGTGCCCCGTAGAAACCCTTTTCTTCCCACCTGATCCCTTGTGCAATTCATCATCACGTGATCTATGAATTGACCCATATGTTGTTTTCCCTTTGCCGTTTCTACCCGAGTTATCCCTCGTCGTCCTAGCCCGTCGCTTCAGTCCCTTCTCGTTCTTCAAGGACACGGACGAATCATTCCAGTTGGAACTTATAGATCTTTGCAGATTAAGCTTCCCGTGTTCCTTTGTTTTAATCCATTTGTGTTCCAAAGCGTCGTGAGCTGTCAAGCGTTTTGAAGCATCAAACACGAGAAGGGAGGTGATGAAATCTTTCGCATCGTCTGAAATATCGTTCCATGGCTGAAATAGAAAACAAAATTTAATTATTAACGCCTCAAAGTCAAACCTCTCCTGGCAGATGAAAAAGCCCCATACATATATGCATATCATGATAGTGAATAAAGTTAATAGCATAATTGAGAGGGTCTAGGGGGGGTTCTCCTAATCCTATAAAATCCATAGTCACCTCGAAATTTATAATAATTACAGTATAGTACAGCCACGTTTATTCGACCAACCACGGTGCAGCAAACTGTAATCTCCATTTTTATAAACCTCAAGTCCCGCGGGACGCGTGCTTCGAACACGATAGTGCGCGTGTAGGACCCAAGTTATTTTCGCTTTTGGTATATGAATTCTGGTTCAAAGAACTTGAACTATGGCCAGGCGAACACTTATCAAACCTTAATTTGCCATGCGACAACCTACCGCATGCAAAGATTGTTTTCGATAACTTTTGATCTAATTCGCCTGTTTGGGAAATTCCGGCTTGACCATTCACACGCGACTTACTGCGTCACTCGCGTGTATCAGGAATAAACTGTCAGAGCAGGGAATGGAATCAAAACACGTTTTCAAGAAAGTGTCATAAGCTGGGAATCATGAGCCAACAAACATAAAGATCAAAAACGCCGCATGAGGGGGGGGGGATAGCGCGCATGCTGGGCGGGGGAGAGGAAGGGCAGATTCTCTTACTCATGTATTGAAGCAAACTAGAGAGTGTTTTGACCGGTTTTGTCCATCGTTAGTTTCATTTCTGGCGTTGTCTGAAGCGCATTCATTCAAAGAATGAAAGTGAATCTTTCGCTCTAATTGCCCCTGCTAGTAAAAGGAAAGGGAGACAGCTGCCCTGCGTGCCCTCTCCTCCCAAGTTCCAGCGTCGCTAACTATAAAGAACCAAAAACGAGCTCATGCCAATCTTCAAATTAAATTAACCTCGTCTAAGTTAAACTTGACATTAGAAACAGAGTTCCATAAAATACAAAATTAAGATTGCATTAAAATCAAAATAGAGAAAAAAAATGGTCTGACGCACTGGATAGTAATGGAATGAAACTTCTTATGTCTTATTTCTGGTCAGAGAATTTATATTGCCACATTTCTGAAGGTTTCTTTCTTAAAATTCTCTCTAAATGTAAATTTTATGGCACGACACCGCTAAAATTGGTTCCCCAATTTTATTACTGTTCAGCATACCGAAGCAATTAAGCAAAGGCCGATCACGGATGAAATGGGCACGAGTACCTATTTTAGCCGTGCCATGCCAATAAATCGAGTGTAGTGTAAACGGAACTTATAGCTCGCTTAAAATTATGCATTACTTTTTTTGCCATCTGTGGAAAATTCGGCGTTTGAAACAGGTCTTTGTTTCGTAATTTTTGAGCTTTTGTGCGTTGATATGTTTCGTTTAGTCGTATCGCTTTGCGTGCGAATATTTTGAAATTCGGCAGAGGTTATATCACTACACTCAAGGTCATAATGTTCGTAAATACGGATGGAAATTTTTATGACTTTCAAACGCTCACCAAAAGTAGAAAGGTATCCGATTAAGCCCTTCACAAAATAAACACGGCTCGCGAACAATTCAATGGTTGTTTACATGCATACATTTGCTAATTGTTTCGACTGAAGCAAATTCGCGGAAGTCGTCCAAAAGGCTGCCATATATCAATAAATGGACATTTTTTAGGAATTAGGATTAGAAAGATTGGAATTATGGCTAGAATTGCTATGGCAATGATACGGCGATGAAACACGTCTTCGAAGTTCAAGTTCAGGAATGCCTGTTATGCGCTGAAACATTGTAATGTAAACATGTTCGCAGGCTTATGAACTTCCTTGCGCGCGTTTTATGCAAAAAAATTTGGTCGATGGAACTTGGAGCTTTTGCGCGAGAGCAATTGTACAGCGGTGATTCTGCGCATATCCTGAGGAATACGTTAGATTTGATAAATCATAGATATCTATAGGCTTTGAATATCGCAATCAAACTTGCGTGACCGGCAGACAATGAAGGGGAAACGCTTATTATGCTAAAAGATTTAAATTTTCACCGACACGCAACTGTACTTTCGACTGGTGGTTCGGCCCCGTGCGCTGTAGCGCCCATTATACCTCGAAAATTTAGTAATTCCTTCCTGTGACCTAATTGCTCCTATTGTACCTTCCGTTTGCAACTCGAAGAGCCTATGAAAATTTTTCGAAATGCTTTCAAAAGGATTCCCTTTTGAATGTAATCCCGAAATGCATTTTTGCGGTCACGATTCTAGTCAACAGAATCTTGTGGGTCCGCAAAAATACGACCTCGATGAGTCGATAATTCAACACTAATCACACAAAGCGAATACAATGCACGAAATTAAACCTAATAATCGATATTTAAGGGCTTGCATTTGAATTGTTGAAAGAATGGCGAAGACACAAAATTGATGTATGAACAAGGTTGAAGGTTGTTTATCATGGGTTGCACATTTATACTTCCTTAGAAAAATATATTCAACAAGCGTAATGCTTTTCGTATTTCACTTTAGAGTATGGCATGCATAGATATACACAGCTTATGAAAACGTCTTTTAATAATGAAAATTTTTTAATGGTTTTTATTTTCGGTTTCATTAAGATTCGTAATTCAATTATGAGAAATGTGTGTTGTAAGGCAGGGTATTGCATGCAATACTAACCTGTCAAAGTTTCTTAAAAATTAGAAATTTACACAGGCAAGTGCCAAAAATATTCGACACTAAACAACTGAAAAAGTGATTATTCACTTATTTCATTTCACCCGGATGCTTAATACAAGGTAAGCCCAGAATTCTATGCTCTTTGTCCGCTATAAGAAACTTATGCCATTTTTTTTAAAACATCCGGTTTTTTTAGTTAAAAGAGAATGACTAGAATAAGAAGATCGTAAATCACGATGACGAACAGGGCTTGACATCTGAAATCCTCAATCAAAAAAAATTCCTTCCATCGGAAACATATCATACGCCAAATCACGCCAAACCTTATATACATGCCTGTGTGAATCCAGCTGTGAGCGGAACTCTTAGTTCTCGCAAGGCCTCATTCCAAGAAGACTTAGAGTCTGTTTTTATTATTGAACATGCTAATACCTCCATTCATTGTAATTCTAACACTTCTGTTGTTATTCATATACCGATTTACTTGTTCCAAAATGAAACACCAAAGATTGAATCGCTTCTGTTGTCGCAGTCTAATAAAGTTTATCATAAACTCAGTAATAACTGAATCTAAGAGTTCACGGTAGTATTCAAATTGACGTCGAATTAAGCGAAATATAAACAAGTTTCAAAGTGTTCTATAATTCTTATATTCATTTAAGGTCCCAACGGCATATTTCCTCAATATGAGATTTGGCTATACAAGATTGTTTCATGCATATAAACCAAGTTATCATAATGAAATATTTCCGATTATAACAGTGAAATCGTCTAGCTATACAGTTTGATCACAACGCTAACGCTGTGCTCTCTTGTTTGTTATCCTTTTGTAATTGAAGTTCCTGTACATGAGCCAATCCCCACAATGAAATGCTTCCCAAAGATCAGATGAAAAGCCTCGCACAGTCGAAATTTTTTTCCAACATGCTGCGAATAATGTTTATATAAGTTCTTCCTTCCGGAAAATTGTCGTGTTTGTAATTTTACTTTGAAACCCGTAGGTCAAGTCTCATTTTAAGAAGCGTTCAAATATAACCTTGGGCGATCTTAAAGTGCCCTTCGTGAGCGCCTCGTACGATATTCGAGTACACGCTTCGTTGTTTAGTAAAGTTATCGAGTTTTCGTGGGTAAAAACCAACCAATAGCGATTACAACAGATCTTTAGCAAGCGACCATTGAGACGAAAAACTTGTGAATCATTCGCGTAATGTAAATATGTAGCAATTAAGGGGTCCACGCAGTAGTGACTTAACCTTTATTTCAATTACATCAAAAATTTATGCCACCTGTATACAATAGGGAAAGCCAACAAGTAAGCATATTTATAGCGCGGTTTATAAAAAAAAAAACAACCCCGCAAACGGAAAACATCTTATATTTAGGTTTAATATGAGAAGGGATAAAATCTTCGATTAATACAAGGAAGGCACCGCAAAGATGGCGATTTTTCTCTCTTAGAACTAAGTCGTAAAGAGACCAAATTATATTCCTTCGTTTTTATGTATGCTCGCGTTTTCGTATAGGAACTCGGAACTCCTGCATGCTTGCGATAAAGAGACTTCTGTTTCTTTCCCGTACATTCTCAAAGCACTTGACTTTGATAAACGTAAGCCTGCTTTTAATTAACATAATTCATCGTGAGATGTTCATCGTCGGTAGCTTATTTATAAAATGTTTTTGTCTGTTGGAAGAAATATTCCTTCCTCATTCCATATAGTACTTTTACTTCTCGTTTCTTCGAACGACGAATTCTAGGTAGCGTTTGTGACTGTTTACAGACACACAACGAATCACGAAGGATTCCAAAACGCAAAAAATGCTAGGATCATACTGGGCAGACAGCCGAGTAAGGGTTCGCTCATTGACGCAATAACGCGGGAAAGTATTTGAGCGAAAATTCTCCAAATATCTCGTGTTGTATACATAGCAAAATAGTCTGGTTTCCATGGTAAAAAATTTTCACATGGGATTAATGCTCATATCTGATCGTGTCCGACACCGAAGACCAGCTATATCTATAAATAATATCCTAGTTTGTTGCCATTTCATTCACAGATTACCAGACTTTAATCGTTACTTGCGTTACCAGAGTATAATCGTTACAGGGTACAGAAATTGATCTATCTTAACAAGTAACAAAATTGCGCTTGTTTTTTTGGATTTTGAACTGGTGCATATAGATATGCGTTTGGCTATTCTGGCGCAATGCCTCATCAGCTTTGTTTTATGGTTGGGTTCCGGGAGCCCTCATATCGCCAATAATAACCCTGACCATGAAAAAATTGTGCTGTGAACGCAGAATCGTTTATAACGGATGACATGTGCAGTAAATTCTAGGCAGCCAAGAACTCATTGAGATAAACCATAGCCAAAAAATGCGATTAAGCTATCATCTGGCACACACGTTCAACAACTAAAATTTTTAGGTTATATTTATATACATAAAAAATGTGCTCTCTGGAACGACGCTGAGATAGAGATTTTTGCCAGGTTTTTTTGAAGAAAGAACGTATATATAGGAATTGTCAAATCCTTCATTGCCACAGCAAAAAACATTTTCGTATGATGCGTTTCAAAGAATCGATATATTTGTCGATATATTTCATTACTTGCATATCCGCTTATCTGAACTATATACGTAGTTTTTGGTTTTTATCAACACTTGCGTCGAGAATATACGCAAATTCAGCCAAATTGAAACTATATTGATTGATAAAATAGGATTAATCCCATCTTATCGTAAGAATTAATAAATCTGAAACAATATACAATGTTCGTCTGTTTGGTCTCATGCACATACCATGCACGGACTAAACACGCATGTTCAACTACGATTGTCAACCATCCTTGTAATACCAAGGTGAAAATTGTGAACTGCGCAATTCTGCCCGAAATTTCCCGGGGTAAATTACCCTTAAACATTTTTAGGTTTGTTTTCGGAAGTTCAGTTTTGCTTCTCTAAACGTGTCGCATCACTCGCAACAATGTAGGATGGTGATTTTCAGAAAACTTAAATTAAACTACGTCAAGAAATCTTTGTGTTGCAATATAGCGGTTTCCCATTTGTGTCGCGCCGAATAAACAAGCTCAAGCTCTAGCTTTCGCATCATCGTTGGCGAATATTACGAGTTTTACAATAACAAACGTTAACATGCAATATACCGTCCACAAACCGCGGCGTGCGCCAGCAAAGCTCGCACCAATCTTGTCGACATTGCAAGGAGAATTGTTTTCGAATTCGGTTTATGCTTTGGCCGAGAGTACGTTTTCGCGCTGTGATTCAATTTAGAATTTGCGTTATAAGTTGTGAACTTTAACATCGGGGTTGATAGGTGAATTACGCTTCGCAGGTGAAGAGAGTACAACTTGCTTCCTCTAACTCATTCATATTTAACAGGGATACAAGGCGCGTAGCACTAGAGGGACAGTGTAACTGTTGAGATTGTATATTTTAGATTGTATATTTTTTGCTCTCTCAAAAAAAGCTAAACAAAGTGGAGTGATGTACATCTCATTGCAAGTGCAAGAAGTCGCTAGGCAGCGAAATATCGCAGTGATTTCATTTGAAATACATGCACCTTATAATTGAATAAAGGAAATTATGTCGGCAGAACAGAGACACACATTCAGCGATGTACTATGAGGGAATTTCCATGTAACCCCCACGGCTTGGGTAACTGTGATTCCCAGTCGAACTAACACAATTCAAAACAAAACAAATATTTTTTATTACTCACCTCGCCATCGAAGCTGTACTTGCAAAAACAAATCATGCGCAGGGTGGACAATATGTTACCGTTCAGCGGGAAAGGTAGTCGGCCACTGAGGACAATATAAGCAATAACACCCATCGACCACATATCCACAGCGTTCGTATACAGCGCGCGCGTAATGACTTCTGGCGCCATATATTCAATAGTTCCGCAATCAGTCTTCATCAAATAGCTTGCTGGGTTACTCGTTCGATCGCGCATCGCGGACAGACCAAAATCGGTGATGATTATTTTCGAATCGTTTCCCGGGTGATAGTAAAGTATATTTTGAGGTTTAAGGTCTCTGTGAGTAATACCGATGGAATGAAGATACCGTAAGCCCTCTAGGATCATTGAGAGAACGGACGTCGCGTCACATTCGTCAAACTTCCCCAGCAAGCATATACGGTCCATCAGTTCTCCTCCTGTAGCTAAATCCATGACGAGGTATAGGCGATGTGGCGTCTGTATGACATCGTACAGTCGTATAACGTACTTGTGCTGAACTTTGCTTAGAATTCTCAACTCAGATTGTGAATTCGCTTTCTCTTTGAGGTCTTGGGATATATCGATGATTTTTATAGCGTACGGTATCTTCGTCTGCCTGTGTTCGACTCTCAAGACATGTCCAAACTCACCTTTACCGATAGAGGCGATAATATTGTACTTTTTCTCGACGTAAGCATTCACTTTGATTTCTCGACGTTTTACGCTTTTCTCACAGCTTCGCTGAGTTCTCAGCGACGGTTTTTGTCCGGTATTCGTCGAACTTGGCTCCACTTTTTTACGGCCAATACAACCTCCCATACTTTGAAAACTCAACTAGGCTTAGCAGAGACCTTGCCGTGGTTGAAATGAGAAAAGGCACGGCTAGATGTAGCCCTAATCACAGCCATCCACGACACGAGAATACGGCTCGTAACTTTCCACCACTTTTACGATTTGTAAACACGCTAATTTGTCTATTACAACTGCGTTCGATACCTTGCAGCGCGTTGAGATGTAATGTTATGAGTCGACGAGTCGTGGAGCGGGGATTGTTAAACTTCGACTCAGAACGCAGCGGGATATCGCTGGCCACAATAATTGCCACAGGCTACCGGTCTGCGCGCGATTGGCTGTTCCTGACAGGTGCCCTGTGACGACTGCCAGAAAGGAACGAACTTGCTAATTATGGCTCGCATGGGTATGGCTACATTAAAAGGATCTAGATTCGACTTTCTCGTGGGTGTTTCTGTGTATTTTTGTACAGTTCACAGTTTCCGGGATTCCGCGATGTTCAGAGAAAAAGAATGCCGCCGCAATGCTCGGGTTAACACACCAATGTCGTCTTGATAAAAATAGCAAAATTTAGCAGAGGCGTAAAGTCTTCTTCATGAAGATAATCAAGGTATAAATTCTCACGTCATTTTACGGACGTCACGTCGTTTTTGCTTAACCGACTCAGACAAACAAAGTAACAAACCTTTCATCCTAATGGTTAAGCCCCGCCATCCCCTGAACTTTTTGGAAGATTTCCAACATTTCGTTTCATGCATTATTGCTCGATTGTAAGCATAAGCTTCTCAGTTTTTGTATTTCAGTACAATTCATGACAAGTTTGAATGAACACCGCACACCACTGCATGTTTTTAAAATTACGTCGTGTATACTTATATCGTGGTTCCCAATTCAAACTGATATCACACTGTACTGATATCAACCGCCGGAAAACAGAGCAAAAAAGCAATTTGTAAAAGGGAACATTTTGAACTCAGAGATGAGCCAATATACCGCTGAATAGTGCGATGCCTTTCACAAAATCTGTTAGGCAACGGCGTATTTTTGAAACCTCGCCGGCAAAATATGGCCAAGAAAAAAGTTCCCATGCAAGGCACCTTGGATGACAGGTCATTTGCCAGTCAAGCTTCGCACGGCGTTGTGGTGTTGTGTGTGTCATGCTGTGTGTGTTTTGCGACCTTCGCTCGTGTGACCGTAGTGAAATATGTAACAACGACCGCATGCATTATTTTTTCAGGCGTGCCCTCCGCGTGCGAAACATGCGCTGATATAATCAGTTGGAGGGTTGTACCAGGCTTGAAACGTGATCTCAAAAAGTATATCAGCTAACATAAGACACGTATTAGGGTAACATAAAATGGTTTTAAAAGGGTTTATTTGCAACATCTATCGCTCCGTTCTATTAAAAGGCATCTTCCATATATTTCATTCATTATCTTTACAAAAGATGTATTGGGTTGACTAACAAAACGTTAGCCCATTTGTTAATAAATTTTTAAAAACATTTTTTCATGAAAACGTGCATGACGTAAATTGGCGCACTTTGAGAGGACGGTATCGTATCGCCTCGTATGTGTAAAATATGATTTGGACTTTCAAATATATAAGTTAAAACATACATGTGGAACTGTCTGGAAATAAATTTAATGGTTTTACGTTTGTGGTTAAATGTTTCCATAATGAACTATTTGTAATGGCTTTGTTAATAGAAGAAAATAATCTTAATTGTTGTAATAACAAGCTACGATACTTTGCTAATGATTGTACGTGTGATATAAAGTAAACAGGATAGATATATAGATACAGTTGTTTCGTTTTTTATATAAAAGCTTTTGTGTGAGACACGATGAGTATTTTGACAGTCTGTCTGTCGTAAATGCAAACATGCATGGTTAACTTAACCTCCTTAAATACGTTCCAATATAACCAGGGAGCAGCGTGGCAGCGTTAGTATATGAATAGCCTACTAACTCTCCTGACGAAGGCCCTCAGGTCGAGAAGTGTTTTTGTCTATTTTAGGCAGTTGTTATACCACATTTGATGCTAACAGCCGTAAAATTGTATCTGGATTAAATTTGTGCATTGGACTGTTTACGTTTCTTCACAGTCGTTTCCAGTGCATTCGTCGTATTTCCAAGTGCCGACACGCTACGGTGTTTTTGCCAAACTGTTGGCTAACCAATGCTGTTTACACCGACATTTTACTAACAAATATATACCACAGGAACAGGCCTCTCGCTAAAAGCCGAACGCATGCAGTCATCCGAAAACTCGGTCTAAAACACACATATGGCCTAGTTTGAGGCATTCATGAATTATTACATGCTTCCTGTCGGCGATAAGCCTTTTAATTTGTTTGTTTGTTTGCACGCTGATGTTTGTTTGTTTGCCAACAAACGTGCGAACAGTACATGCTCAAGATTCAAACACAAGTCGCGTTCTCTATCAAAACAAACTTCAAATGGCAAAATGAGATGCCAGTCATCGACTAAACCTCTTCTTTTGTACAGGACCGGCCGGCCACAGTGTTTCATGTAATAGACAAACGTTATAGAGAGGTCAAAAAGATCAAATTCGTGAAGTTTATGATAGCTCATTTACGTACCTTGCAAGAAATGACCACGAATTATAAAATTCCTCTGGTTGCGGGCGAAAGTCGATTCTTATTTATTGAATTATCATTGGCAAATACTCGAAACTTTTTCACCCAAAGATTACCGAGTTTGTCAGCAAAGTAAGGCAAACTCAAGACGAATAAAAAGCACTTGAATCTTGAATCATTTACACGCATGAATTCTTGATTATACCACGCAGTTTCTCTGTAACGTTATCCACAAGTTATTGATTTGGCATTTAGTCTATAGGTAGATCTTTCAAGAGATTAAACTTCGGTATTTTTAATTCAAGTTTGAATCCAATTGCTTATTGCTCTATGAGGCTTTGTGGAGCGAGTTCTTAGCCACACAAGTTTATGCATAATCATGCCAGTTGTGGCAGCGGGCACGTCATATAACAATAGGATTATAGTCCTGTTCTTTCTTGCAGAAAGAAAGACAAATTGTGCAGAACAATAAAAGCCGATAAACAGAAATACCGACAAGACTTTTAAGAAGAACATTTGCTTGTGATGAAAACCTGGCTTCAATTTCGTCCAAAAGGATTAGAAATAAGCGCACTTTGATCGTGTGAAAAGACCTAAGCAATTTCAAATAGATTTTAAGGGGCATAACTGTCAAATTACTACACATTTGAGAGCATGAAGCAGGATTAATTGAATGGAAATCAATTATGAAAGTTATACGACATTCGCAATTTGACATGCATCTTTGTTAGTCGAGGTACTCTGACGTTGAGAGGTTTCATATCCTCTGTATTGGAGATAGGACACCCGCCTACACGATGTCTTGAAAGATCATCAACTAACACTATAACATTCGTGACACCCACTGCCTCATCACACGTGGGTGTCATGCTATTAAAAAATGCGTCCAGTCTAATTTTCGTCATCATTGACGTTCAAATGAAAATAATCCTTAAAATATGGCACTCCTTTCTATTGTGTTTGAGTATCTTGAAGTCAACCACACGTTTTATCCAGGTTGGCCGGTGATTAGTTCAATTTTTAAGCCAAATAGCGTCACACGAAAAGCCCTTTGTCTCCTTTGTTCTCTTAAGGGATTAAATATGCCTGTCATATCTGTTATACGTCTGATCTACAAGGAGTCTGGATTTATCGGTCCGAACAAACGCATGCGCAAAGAAAATATGGTATACATTCAAAAAATCATCTAGCTAGCTGCTGCACGTGCATTAACGCGTATACATCAAGTCGAAACGCGACGTCTGTCTCGACAAAGATATGCCGAATCTCTGAGACAGTCTTATACCTGCCGTCGAGTTTCAAATGTCGCCAACTCGTTCTATTGTTTTGAAAATCATTTTAGTACCATCAGGTCAGAGGCCAGCCTATAATCTATTCTGAAACTTTCAGACGGCTCAGAATTCAAAATATAAACAAAGAAGCATCATGTCAGGCGGGCAAATATATGAAGGGCGTTTAAGCGAGTTGTTGAACTTTCGAAAAAAACAGAATCAGAATTGTTTGTGTTTTTTACGCCAACGTGGGCTTGTATTTATTGACGTAATGCGCAATTACAACGCAAATGAGGTTAATTATATAAGAATTAGGGAACTTGACGTTCTCGAATCACATCTTAAGCCCTCGTCAAAATGGCATTAAAACATCAAAGCCAAGAACTTGATTGAAACTAGTCCAAGTTCTTGATGAATAGTTGTAACTTTATAACCCAATTGACTTGAACTCAATTTATTTCAAAGTTTTAGGCCTTGATTAAACTTTACCTATAGTCCTAGCACTTAATAAACCTAATTGGGCCCATAAACCTAAATAAACTTCAAAATACTCCTTACAGTTCGTCAAAGCATCCACGAATTCCTAGAAAATGTTTGCGACATACGAGCATTTCCTGTCTATGTGTATTCTGAAAACTTGACGTCCCCTTCGGCATAAAAGTTGTACTAAAATAGCTCGCGTTCGAAAACACAGAAAGAGGATTAAAAAAGAATCTCTGAACCTTTATACCCTTAGGAAACGGATGGCAATTATGCAACACCCTATATGCATTCACACCACAGAGATTACGATCAATTACACCGGATCTTTCTACCATAGTAATTCATAGTATCCGCGATTTATTAGTATAATCAGGTACACTAAGGACAAACAGTAAGCTGAATATGGCCACTGACATGCAGATTACAATTTTGTAATCAGTCAAATCTTGACAATTACTTTGTGATTTCGGGAAATTGCTCTACCGGTTCCAAATAAGCCGGCGCTTCACTCTTTGAATTCTTTAGTTAACATTTCCAGATGCCCCATGCAGTTAGCGGGCCCTTTCTTGGAATATTTGAAGCCAAAATTCTTTTCCTGTGAGGAATTCGCGCGTTGCGAAAGTCGCACGTCCATTCGGCAAGTCCAAACGGCAAGTCCAAGCTTTGAAAAGGCAGTTATAAGCATCATCCTCGACGGTACAACTAATGATAGATGTGGCGTGATAGGCAAGTCTAAACGGACGTTTTTCATGCAAAAAAGTGAATAAAACCGCATCAAAATAAAAAAACCACCTGCAAAATTGCTTATTTCGTCAATATTTAGTTGTTTCACTGAATACAATTGTAGGAATTATATTTTACCGGAAAAGTTAAAGGATAGAATATGTTGAAACTACGTTCAAAATCCGCATTCCAATATTAACTTTGAAAACTTACGATGGCAAAGCACATCATATTGAATTAATTTCACCATCATCGTAATCAACAGGATACGTGATGTAAGCTGATTAAAGAATAAATGGTTTAGGAGTTTCAGCTGCACTCAGAATCAAGAACATGAAGTAGCGATATGACTAGGCAAGAATTTTTTGAAAATGCACTCGGTATCGTTTCTTCGTCTCAATACCCAACCTCTGACCCCGCAATTGTTATGATGGTCAGTATCATAAAACAATAGAAACGCGACTAAGCGCGCACGGAATTTCCGGGCTTGCGCGCACCGCAGACGTTTAACCTTGGACACGCGCGGCTAATGCAAATCAACACTCTGGAACACAGCCAAGTGTTTCAGATCAAATATTATTTCGCTGCCAAGGGGGGAATAAGTGTTCTTGCGAAATATGTCAGTCAGTAAGACGCACGTAATACATAAATATAAGATTGCGCACATTTATGCTAACGTAATCATATTCACCTTGTATACCGCATCTGTACAAATGCGTAAATTGTTTCCGACCGTCATTGAGTCGTTCTAATTAGGTTTGCCCCAATTGGCATTGGCCTTTGAATTATAATTACGTCTTATTCACGTCTTTTAATCTTCAGGATGTTTCGTTTTGAAAAATTATAGAATCGTGGTTCATGGTTTCCCATCAGACGATACTTAGATTATTAACTCATATTGGGTAGTGAATTTAAATATGATGAATCGTACATTCCCAATAGTCATATCATAGTAGTGTTTTGCTCCATAATTTACACTGGTACGTTGCATCGCACATCATATTCGGGTCGCTTACATTGTGTACTTTTTTATAATAGATCAAAGGTTTTTCTATTACCCATACTCTATAGTGATCCATCAAATCAAAAATAAATAAACTCCGAGGACTACATATAGCATATAAAACGAAACCAACTCCGAATAACATCATCTCTTAAAAAGGATTTTAATCATTTTATATCTTAAGTCCAGATTCAACCTTGCTATATTTTCCAAATATGGACGCGAGCTTATTATGTTTCCAAATGAAACATTGAAAAGCATGTTTAAAAAAAGTCCACATTTTTTGCATACCGCGTGAAATTTAATTCATGTCAATTACATTTAGTCAAAACAAATGAGATTTTGGCCCAAAACCCAACTTCTTATTTTGCCTAAAAATTCATACCCTGACAACTCCTTTCGAAACAATATGTCTAGCCTAATAGCCTTGGCATGTAACTATCGCAGAGTCAAGGCTAATTTCTTTCAAAACAAAGTTAACAAACCCGTGAAACCACATACCGAACGCACGTTTAATTGAAAATATGCAAATAGAAATATTCCTAGTAAAAGATTTCACGAAATCACCAAGCAACAGGGCATCTAATTTGCGTGGCTTCCGAAAATTCTTCACAGCAGAAGATTTCTGAAAATGGCTTTCTGGAAATTCGTTAGTGGTTTGCAGACTTGTATTTTGAACTGAGAGAGAGAGATTTTCAGGGATTCACGGAACGATATTGCCAGAGTTTCATTGATTATTTTTATATTTTAAATTTTTACACGTACGAATTGTGTGCGGAATAACAACTTTATAGTGTAAATGTAGAAGAATGACCATATTCAGCTCAGAAGTTTATTACTTTTCAATGATTTTGTACTTACTTATACTATATTTGATTATAACAATAAAGCGCCGATACAATGAATACTAAGAAGAGAGTAGAGTTCCGGTTTGATTGTAATCTACTCAGTCCAAATGAATATTAGGTATTGTATGAGTGTATATATCTGTTTCCTAAGGGTTCAGACATTATTGTTTTTAATCCACTTTCCAAACACGAGCCATTTATGCACGTCATGTACGAGTTTGCCAAAGGCGATGCAAGCGCATGTTTTCAAAATATTCTCATAGCTTTTAAATTGCTCGCTTGTACACAATGTTATGGCTATTTCTCTGTTGTACTTGCTTGTTTTTATAACTCAAGGAAATGCGACATGGCTAGGATATTGTCTCCCGGCCCTTCGAACTGAAAATCACAGCACTTCCCCGAGGGAAAGTAACATTCGAATGTGTTTTGTTTACCGAACATTTCTGTCTGTAGAATTTGCAAGAGATTTGAAGATTTTCGCACCGCAGAATTAAAGCTTTCGACAGGAACACCAAGGCGACAATGAAAATATTTTCGAAGAACTTCTTGCCAACTTACAGCTCGCAAACTAACGCCTACACAACACTTGATGTCTGCTTGCAATCACACAAACAAATGATACAATATACAATTAAACAGATTAATACCCTTGACAATACCGCAATAATGTGAGATGTTACTTTCATCTTTGTGTCAAAATCTCAAGTCAACTCACAACTGTTACTCATTTCATTAAAGCGTGCATTCACGGCGTTTTTTTATAATCTTGGATTCGAGTAGGTAATTCAACCATGTGCGGTTTTGTGGCTATATTCATTCAAATCAAGATGTGCGGTTTTGTGGCTATCCATGTGCTGCGCGTCAAAAGGACAATGCGCAATTGAATTGGAAATATTTTACGGGAAAGTCGATACGGAATGTTTTCTCGAGATACAGGACGTGGGTTAAAAGTGGGTGTTGTGTAAGTTTTGACACTGTCTTAGACAATAACGTGGCGAATGTCAGGTCCCTTGTAACTACATATTATATGCACTTGTTTGTTCATCTACAGAGCTGAAAGATACCCTTTGAAATCCAACTCGATTTCAGAAACACTGCCTAGTCATAGCAAGGTATTTCCTGTTTGGTGTTGAATGCAAAACGCGAGCCTTCTCACGAAACAGGATATGCCTTATCCGAGAATACACATCGATTTGATTGCACACATTGTACACAAATAGCTTGTGTTTAAAAACATAGAAAAATGGATTAAAAATGGACCTCCGAACCCTCAGGAAACAGATTAACAATTGAGCAATTCTTTATACTTTTGTCCACTCGATGGATTACAGCGAAACCGGATTCCTCTGTCATCCGCACTTTATGTTAATCAAGTGAATTGAGAATAGAATCGATGTAAGGGTAAACAAACCTCGAGAACATATGCCCGGTAACCTGAGATTTCAACGAACCGTGATATGATTTTGAGCTATTAAAATTTGTCTTTTTGAAACCAAACAAGCGCATGCTTTTATCGGGATGACTACACCACTGTCAGGGTCATGTTATATCCTCATTTCAATACCTCAAAAGACATTTCACGGTTCGTTTAATCTCTGCTGTAATCTCTGCTAAGCGGGTTCATGCAAGCAATTCTTAAGAAGGCTACAGTGACAAATATTGTCAATGACATCCATAATTAACACAAATAACACATTTGACGTGATTTGTCTCATTTGGATGTATCTGTCAGCTTTTCCACAATCAATCCTTGTGACTCAGCAAAACTCTTATACCGGCCGTGACGTAATTTAACAATTTTATTTCGAAGTCGCCAGTCAACTATTATGCTATATTTTGCATCATTCCTTACTGGGGCAAAGTGCAAACGTTGAACTAGTAAGATGTGCTGGGCGTACCAATTTCAAAAAATAGACCCCATGAAGGTGATTTCCTGCATTTTGACATGCAATTTTGCACGCAGAACGCCGATAATCGCCTTGAGGCCAGTTTACCGCACTACCGCAGAAATTTCGTTCCAGTTCTATGTACAATTTTCGTCTTAAATAAGCTATGAATATTCACAGAATGCCACCTGTAGAAAATATCGTATGGACATTCTTTTTCTTTTCAATCCTATGCAAATATTCCCAGATGGTTTCAGCTGTACGAAATGCCTATATATAAGCCATAGCAAACATACTCAAATGATTCACACGAAAGCTTTAAATTGACACGAAAGTCAAACGTCTTAAAAAAATTTAAAATCGAAATTGGAAGATTGAAACCAACGGCTAAAGGATTGTCAGCTTTCAAAAGGTATTTGAGCTTTGTCATTCAACAGTGTTTCAAATACAAAATTTGTAGAAAAAATGAGATTTAGGTTCAGGTTAAAGTAAAGTTTGAATGTACGTATACAGTATACCATTTGATGTTTTAAAGGGCTTGAATCCTATGTAATATGTTGACCTTTTGTCCTGTCTAAAGGACAAAATAAAGAGAAGAAAATATGAAAATAGGAAAAGAAAGACAAAATATAGTACTCGTCCGTCACATCCGTCTAACCCTTGTCGAAATAGATCCGGAACTGAATAGACAGCCTCTGCTAAGAGTTGTGTATAGTCTATCGTTAAGAGACACGTACTTGTATAGTCGAAACACGGTTTCTGAAGCATTGAGGATATTATGAGTGTTCTGTGCTGCTTGGTGGTCTTTGCATTGGAGGCCCTTAAGAACCCCACTCATGTTGGAGTACAATAGCATTTGAGTCAGAAATCCGAAGCCCTGTCGAAAATAGAAGATTTGTTGATGATAGTCCAGTAGCTATATTGATATTCTAGTCTGGCAGAGACTGTCTGTAGCTAGGAATGACGTGGATTCGGTACTGAAACATGAAAGTGAAACTAGTTTGAACCACTTTTTCGCAACATCACGTAATTGTCAAGCTCGATCTGTTTTCACCAAAGGCGCTTCCATTTAATCGATTGGCCTCCAAAAAACTTTAGAGTATGAGAGTATCACTTCTTTTATCGATACTATAGAAAACCCTTAAGGTGGTGTAACGTTTAAACAATATATCTTTTCGATAAAGTTATAAAATTATAGTTGAGCATGTGAATATATTCATAAATCATGTTCATAAATAGTGCACTTATAACAATATTTGTAATGATTAAGTATGTTACCATGACTACTGAGATAATGGCTTATGTAATATTGTTCCATTCTATGTTCATCTTCCCCTAAAGTATCGCTTTCGAACCTCTCCTAAAGTCTTTGTTTTCACCTGCTTTACATCGTGTTCAATAAAATACCAATAAAACAAATCGTGTGTTCAATAAAGAAGAAACAAAAAATCAATCATTTCACTAAAGTTTTATTTTCAGATGGACGATGAACTCATCAGAGCGCTGCAGGTGATTGAAGACTGTGAACTTGCTCAAGCGCTCGCCAATTGGCAAAGGGAAGTAAAGTTTGGAGGATATCGCCGTCCGAAAACGGTAACTGATGTTACTTTTTTGTATTTAAGAATGGTTATACAGGGTGTTTGCAGATGAAATATTAGTTTGTAGATCGTGATTAACCGGAGTAGTGCCGGCTGGAAAGCTAGAGCCTAGAGGTAACAATATATCAGTTCAACAAATTAAAGTATATCGACGTAAAATCTCCGTTTGAAGACAAGCCGTTCGCAATGATGAAAACGATGAAAGGAATTTGTCTTCATTTTCAGAGCGACAGATTTGGGGATTTCAAAATTAAGTGGCAAGTGAAAGATGATTATATATTCGCACAAGAGATTGCAGAGTCACAAAGAGGAGAAATACAGAAACGATCCCCATGCCAAGCAGTAAATTGGTCAAGGCACGAATTACCACCCGTGCAGCGCCCGTACTCTAGAGTGGCCAGTAGATCAAACTTTCTGGACTCGGATTATTGGTTAAGATATGCACAGACGCCATACTACCTCAGACCAGACCGACCGTTTAAACAGCAAGACCATGTACAGTTACCGGAAGAACAAACGATGGTTTGTTTTTTCATGTTTTTTTTCCTTTCATTCGTACTAAGTTTTGATTAAGAGATTCATGACTATAGGAATCCAGCCATAAATCGCCAACTTGTGGATCAATATATAGACCATTGCAATAGCAAAGCCCTGTAAAACGGGTATGCATGCAGAAATACAGGCCGAGTTAGACTGACTTAATTGTAAATTATTATTTACATCTTTAAGTAAATATACTGCGTTTCCAGATTCCGCAAGAGATTCATGACTATAGGAGTCCAGCCATAACTCACGAACTTGTGAATCAATATATTAACCATTGCAATATGAGATGCGACCGCTGTCGACGCGTCATGCAGAAGGCTCGTGTCATGGCTACAGAGGTGGAGGAAAAATATCGCAAGAGTTTTGAAATGAGGTGCTACGCTGAGCATTTTTGCCTGGTGTTTTGGTCCGGTGATAGAAAAAACACATGCGTTATTCAAATGGATGGAGATGAAGTACTAGTGAAAGTAACTAACGAAAGTTGGTCCAAGTGGCTTAAAAGGGTCGCTGAAAAATGCTGGAGTGGATTTAAGTTTCTGGTAGAGAAAGGCTGTGAAATACTGAAAGGACTCGGGCCGTTAGCCCCTTTGGTGTGTCTTGCTCTTCCTTTGTGACAATGACTCCGAGGAAATATATTTTAGAACAGCGAGTGTGCTGCTGTGTATATAAAATGATATCGAAAAGCATGGTGTAGAGAAATTTAAAGATTTAGCTAAAGGAGAATATATTTATTGTTTCTCCGATAATTGTTAGTTGATTTCCCACAGATTGGAAAAGAGGACTCGAACTGGGTGTGTGTCTGCATGCCACCTACAAAATACATTTTCTCCCAATTTATTGTGTCTTTAGTCGCGCATCGATTTACACCCTCGTTGCAAAGTGCTTTTCCTGCTTTGATGTGCTTCCGAGCTATTTTGAAAGAAACTGCAAACAATCAAGCTAGCATGGCTTTGAAAACACAATAACCAGTGGATATCAGCAAACGCTTTTCTTCCACTTGAAGGTGCAGACAGTAAACATCTTCAGCGACTATTGTCAACACGCCTGGTATCACGGCTATAGAAAGCATTTCCAAGAAAGCCGAAACATTTCCAAGAAAAAATTCCGAGAAAAAAAAGCGGAAATGCTTACGGATTATATAACGTCTCACGTCTCGAATTGGGAAACATTTTCCTTCAAGGGCGTGTAGGAAATGCTGTTGTATATATACAAATATGCAATTAGAAGCTGTTTAATTAAATTTCTGGGAGATAAAATATTTTGTGGTTATAGGGCGAAGTAGATAGATCTCTTGGGAAATAATTTTTTATATATGCCCTGCATACAGATTGTCTTGCACGCGACGTCAACACAAGACATGTTGCTGCACATTCAAAGGATGACTATCTATCAAACAATGACATTTATCGATATCCTCTTAAAATTTGAGCCATTCTGGCGCACTTTTGACGTACATGAAACTTGGACACGAAACCTGTATCGGTGTCCAAAATTCAACTTAATACTATGAAAATTAAATTGATATTTGATAACGATAGAACTACATATCTCATGCATTTGGGTTGTTGATTTGTTTGAAATAACATTATTTATATATTTTAACGATATATTTATCGATCCCCTGCAAAACATTTGTACAAATTGGAATATTTAACTTACACAATTAAGTATATAATATATACCTATTTCGTATATCTTTGTCTTCAGTTCTCACCAACATTTCAACTTTCGACATACTTTCGGAACTGAAATGATTATAGGCATCTGGATGGTGTCATCTAAACACAATTCTTCATCCAAAAACTTTGACAGAGAAAAACCATTACGTTTCTCCAAGTTTCTCAGAACATTATACGTTTCTCAGAATTGTGAACGAATATTACATTGATACAAATTTGTTTTTCTAGTAAATCTCAGGACTTTCGCGAAGAAGCATTTTGCATAAGGGTTCTAGTTGTATAACTAAACGGGATACAGCATTTCGTCGGGAATTTGTCTTCTTGACGACCGCCGAACTATGTGCTTTCTGACTTCGTCAAATATTAGAACGGTCGACGCGATACAGGCTAACAGAGCTAAGTCAGAAAACAGAAGGGCTTCCGTTTGGAAAACTGATTGAAGAGGCGGAAAATATATGACCAGCATTTGACCAAGAAGCGAGCCTCCAACAGCCAGTAAGAACATACGATTGGAGAAAACGCCGATGGTGAATACGGATTTTACCTGAAATATGGTCGATAAAAAAAGATGTGAAAATTTTCTTAAGCGAGTTTCATAATCCCCCTTGGGTTGGTGGTATTGGGTAAGGATTAATTGGCTTAGGATTGGCTTACCGACCGCTTACATAAGGACAAAGCGGTTTATACACACTTTATGAATGGCTGAACCAAGAACTCATGCATGCATTTGTGAATTTGTGAATGAATATCTTTACATGATATTTAGCTTGGATGTTTAAAGTTACTTCACAACCAAATTAAGACGTGAAAAAAAAGTTAGCCTATATGACTGTGTCTTGTGTATTAATATGCCATTTTTTAACGATATACCTGTTAACAATTTAAACTCGCATTTTTATGTTTTTGCTCGCGAAAATTTTTTACATATTTCATTTCTCAATTTGATAAACACTATGCATGCTGGTTTGGAAAATAAGCTGTCTGAAAGATCAAATGAATATAGATGAAAATCGTTAGTCATTACATTCCACAATCAAGCGATTCAATCAACATAATAATAATTACAAAATTTCCTCCATAATGAAGAAGTCATGTTCTGAAAAAGCCCATGTCATTGACCCTTTCAAAGTTCAAACAGAAAGCTTTTCTTTGCTAAAGTAAATTTGCCTCCGTGATATTTGAGAGAAAGCTATAGATCTATCATGGCCTCATTCTGTGCATAATATGCATGCAATTACCAAGTAAATCTGGAAAAAAATCACAGACTTATCCAGAAGGTTTAGGTAATCTATAGCGCAATTAAGTGCTATACAAGTAAGGTTTATATTGTAATTCAAGACGAGGTTTTCATGTATATTATGAACATCATTGATGCATGTTCGTGTTTGTGGTAATAATATATTTATCTAAACAAGGCGACCTTGCATGGATTGGAAAGGCCACCTTGAGGCAAGAATGTTCTTGTTAAATCAACAACTGTAATTTTTAAATTTGAAATTTAAATTCATGTTTTCTTTTATCTACATGCATTTTCGTTGTACAAAAATCGGCTTATAACAAGCTATCATCATCTTAAGGTTATAGATATTAGCACGAAGATACTGATATGTTTTTATTATCACAACAGACGCGTCGAGGTATGCACCTTCCTAGCTCGTGCCAAATATAATAACGACTGCTGCCGCTGTGTTGCATAGAGCATCATGCACGACCGGATATACATACCCCGTTTCAAAAGCACACGTCTATAGCAACGATAGCAATAGAGGATAAATAAACATGCTGAACATAGTTAACAGGGAGCGTGTTTGCACAAAAGTCGTGGGAAAACACTGATGCACGCGTTGCCTGAAGCGATGAATTCTTCTATAAACGTGACGGCCTTCTTTGAAGATATGTCGAGAAAATTTATCAGGAAAGTGTAAAACGCTGTTAATTCCCACATACATTCTCGTTTCAACCTTTCCTAGCGAACACTTCAGTAAAAAAATGCGGCAGGTTTCGCAACGAAACTCAATGATTGAAAACTTGAGGAGGTTGAAATTTTTTTGCCAGAATTTCGACGCGTGGAAAAGGATTTGAAGATACTTTCCTTTTTTTAACTTTCACCCTCTCATTCAAAAGCATTTGCAGAGAGAGAATAGCAGGCTGAATCTTGCGACAGAATGATATTTCATGCACTATCGTTGCCTGAAGGTTAAGTGCTACCCAAAAGGCGAATTACATTAAAATGATAAACGTTTGTCCCTCGATTTTATAAAAGCGTTTTTGCCCGTTTTTCGAAGGAATACATGCAGTGCGATATTTAGTTAACCGTCGTTATTATCACATGTAAAACCAAATAGAGAATACACGTATATATAACGTTCGCGTGTCTAGTTTTTGCGCGAGTCATGGCGGCCTGCGTCATCCATTCCAAGAAATATGTTAGTATGTACTTCGCTGTTTCTCGAACATGTGGTTGATGAAAACTTTTGATAAGAGGCATGATAATGTGAATTCTGGGTATGCTAGAATCAGCTGGTATCCTTGACCTTATCGGCCTCCACTCATCCTGTTAAAAAACTAGAAAACCAGGAAACTGCTATCGTCGCCTCTCGTATCACATATACCTACGCAAATCCCTTTGGCTCAATACTCTTTTTGATTATACGTACCAGAGAACGTCTGTCAGCACATATCAAGAAAAAGTTTTCTATTTTCAGAGAACATGCACGAAGTTGTAACACACCGACCGACATGATTCACATTAATTGGCATATACGCATCTGATATATATCGCAGTGGCTGGAACATTTACACAAGACGGTGCGAAACCAAATTTCTACGATTATTCGTCGATAAATTCTTGGAATTCTTATCTAGAAATCTTGATTGTTCCCGAAATGACATTTCAGGATTCTGCTCATCGTCGTTTCACATGTAAACAACTTGAATACTATATATTCAAGGGATTAACGGATGCTATTTTCCACGAGTGTTTGAACTCCCAAAATCTTTGCACAAAATGACAGTTTCGACAGAGATGAATGTAAACTATTTCAGTATCTTTCCGACATCCAAAAAGCTACTAAATCAGATTAGTATTTTATCTCTCAGCTGTCGAGGCGAGAAAAACATGCATAAACCCAACCCAGTTTCCTGAAATTCAAGTGCATTTCGATTCGTGATGAGGTATACGAGGAATAAGCCTAAAGAATGCCCCAAATATACTCGTATTTTTTAAGTCGATTTAATTCCAAAGAGCAAGCATTCTTTACCGCCAAAGAACTATATTGGGGATCTTACACAACTGGCTAATTATGTGCATGTGGTAAAATTCTATAATCCACGCGGTGTTGCTTCAGGCTAAACGCATCGAAAGGGACAAGTCCCATCAACGCAAAATTTCTGTGAATATAAAGACCTGAGTATCTAATATGTCGCCATATTCTGGTTCCTTGAGCAAACGACGTTTTTGGCTTCAGACATAACATTATAGACACTATACCTATACAATAATTCATCTGGGTATATAGAAGCTATATATATAAGATATAGTTGGTTTCACAATAAATGCCCACGAAATATGCAATTGGTTGTATTACGAATTAATCGACCTTTTCAGCTTGCATGCAAATTAACACATTTCAGATGTTGTGTGATCATGGAATAGCCAATAAAACTTGCATACACGATGAAAAGGTTTATTGTGTGGAATTTTGCCCTAAACTGAATAAAGATGGACAAATCTTCTAATGAAATATCAGCTATGACGTTGCATAACCTCAGAATTGTTACGTAACAGACATGGAAAAGTAGTTGATTTCATGAGCAAAAAAGCATTACTAAATGAAATCTTTTATATTGTATAAGTTAAACGTTTTGGCCTGACATTTTCAAGACTTGTGGTAGGATTATCTCTCAAGAATGCTCTAAGTTTGAATAAAAAATCAGGATTATATTCTCAAGAATGCATGTTCGATGAGAATGCAAGAATTCGTGAGACGAATGAATCAAGGTGCTGTGTGCACGGTCACTTGATTGCAGTTTGAGTTTAAGATGCACGACGTGGATGTGACATGAAAACCGCTACTATTGTTAAGGTGGATTTCCACTTACAGCGAAATCATTCGCTAGCGAACAGTCAAGTCGCGAGAACAATCAAGTCGCCCTAATTTATCTATGCTGTTAAAATTCAAAAGAAAATATTTAAATATTTCACCAGCGAACGATTTTGCTGTAAGTGGAAATCCGCCTTAAGTATATACCAATATTTCCATTTGTTTTACGTACAGCTCTGACCGTGTTTATCAAAAGGAGTCCATAATTCCTATCCCTGTTGGGAAACTGTGGAAATTAACGCAGTATCATTAACTTCACGTCCGCGTCGTATAGATTTGCTGCATCTTAAACTCACTATTATTGACGTTGACGGCGAACATTCGAAGTATCAAACATAATCTTAAAATGCTTTATTGATTAACATATAGTTGGGTAATTAAAAGTGAAGACAGGTTTAACTGCATTTTCACGCATGTAAGCAACAAAGAATTATTGTATATATAAATAACGATGAATACCAAGACTTTATTGAAGGAATTAAACGTTCGATGGACTTTGAAAATCAACTAGCATTCAAAACCCATAAACAAACATCATGAATGGTTTGCCCTTGACAATTAGCATTTGAAAACAACGACAGCGTACTGCTTCCGGACAGAATGATGAAAAAAAAACGTTTGGGAAGTTAAATGCATTAATAGAATTAATAGAGGATGTTTGCATAGCTGCATACAGTCATTAATCGGTTGTATTGATGTTCGTGAATTGAAATGTTTACATTCTATTCCGCCCTACCCAATGTCTGCATGCATAACCTTGGCATAATTCACTGTCTTTCGACCTTGCTTCGTTCTGCATACCAGCGTGGGTCTCGCGACAAAACGTGCAATAGAGCGCCCCACTGGTAAAGTAACCTTGAATAAGCTTCAAAAATTGGCTCGCGCATTTGCAATCGACCTTGTGCGGAATGTTTCAAAAAAAAAGCATGCAGTATTATGATGCATCCTATATTTAACGAGTTAATGATATCATTTTCATGTGTAGCAAGAGCAGTCATTAAGGTTTCCAACCAAACTACTCTCACGAAAACTACTCTTTCTACTCCCACGAAATGTAATGACATGCACTAACTCTTTGGTACACAAACTTTGCAAAGGAAGACATTAGGAAGAGCTATACTTGCAAAGGGAACTACAAATGCAGAGACGTCATGATTCATTGCAAACGTTCGATTCATTACAAACTTTCGATTCATTGCAAACTTGAAACATCAAACGAAGGGCCATGAATACAAACATTAAGCAACTCTGTATAAATCCTAGCTGGTTTTGAGACCGCGCGATAAATAACCTTGAGGTTTTGTCCCTGTAAATGATTGTGTAATTACTTGCAATTTAATTACAATAACGATGAAACAAATGCTAGTTCAATACATGCACAGCTTCTAGAAATGGATGAATGAAATATTTTTGCCCTAATTGTATGATTACATATCATCGCTCTCAGAGTGCATGATAGCTCGTCACAGCGTCTCAACGAATGTTTTTGAAATTCTTAAAATAATTAACAAATATTTACTCATGTTGAAACATATCTGAATATTTCACAATAGGAAGTTTCGAAACTTCGTTGATAGTTACACACACGCTTTTTAAATTTAATACCCGAGGTGCAATTTATATCGGCAAACTATAACCCCATGTACTGCCTAAAACCTGCTAATAGAAAGGATTATTTCAAAAGGTGAAGCCATCCTAGGCTTTTAAAACTTCCAAAATACAGAACTGTGGGCGGACGAACATGTGTTTTTGTTAAATATACTTTCCATTGTAAAAACATCGCGTGTCATACATGTGCAATTGCAACAGCGAAAATATGTTCTACATAGTTGAATGCATTACTTTCGATACTTCCAGACGCTCCCTGCTATGTAAAAGGCATTTATTGACGTTATTCAAATCGTAAAACGCGACGTTAATAAGGTCAAGGTACCAGATAAGCACATTATATTAGACACGTGCGTGAAAAAACATTACTACGAGAATGTTCACCTATCAGCTTAATTTATCATTGCGTGATGCGAGATTCATCGAAACTTTTTTTTGCCTTTTAATTTTTTTTTCCTTTCTTTCATTGCCTTGTTGTACTCATGGGTGGGATATCTTATCTCTTTTGACCAATTTCTTCCGCTTGGAATACTTTTTATTGAAATATTCCGTTCTTAATCCTTGGTCTTGGACCACACAGGATTATTGATACATGCGCGCTCCTGTTTAACTCTACGACGTCTATTTCATTTGAAAAGTTGTCCCACAAGTATCCCAACATTTGCAACCCCAAGTATCCCAGTCCCATGCGTATACCCGCTAAATATCCCGGAAAATATCCCGCATTCAGGCCAAACAAAATAACAAATCCATACATCTCTCGACTTCTCATTTCAAAAGGATAACAATCACTGCAAACTGCAGCGTCATTTCAGTGTTTTCACTTGAAAACTTTTCATCAACGATGACTGAAGATCTATACAGACTCATCTACTGTACCTCCTATTGTGTACCCCGGGTCAAAGAAAGCCTTCCCCCCTACCCCATTGCCGATACCCTCCTCCTCCCTCCCATCAAAGATTTCGCCTCCTACCTGTGAGCGGCAACTCAGGGCGTTGAACATATCGAAGAAAACGAAACACGTGAACGTCATCGTCGTATCACGTGCAGTGATTTTGTCATCTATCATCTGAAATGGAGAAGAGATCAGAACTTAGGCCCACACGGACAAGGAAATCTTTCGTGAAAGTATCTGTTCAAGTTTACTTCCCAAGAAATTGAAAAACGCGCGTTCTGTTCACTTATATAGATCAACGGCGTGTTTGCTTAACGTTGATCTCTATATGTAAACGGACCGTGAAAATTTTTATAGCGCAAGGACACGAGGCTTGTTGTGTTATCCAGAATTTTTGTGTTGCTAGCTGGTGGAATTATCAATTATGAGTCATGTAATCCTAAGATCGGTACATGCGAGTGTAATGGGGCCTAGATCACCTTTTCATAGAAAAGAACCTGAAGTACTAGACGATTTTGCGCTAAATGTTAAGGTTGCTGGGGTTTTGAAACTTTGAATTAAATTTTGAGTTTAACTTGACGCGCAACAATTAATTCGATTTGAATAAGAGTTTTAAACTGTCACAATGAAAATGCATGTTAAGTAAATTACGAGTCATGTATGAAGTATGACATGAAGTATCACACTCCTTACCTCACGCCAAAACACCCAGAGCGTACCAGTGACTATGAGCGTAGCACTCATTATCACGTTGAACATCAGAGATCTAGTTATGATTGGTTGTTTAACGTCACGTGGTGGCTTCTTCATGACGTCACGGTCTACTGGCTCCACGCCCAAACTGGTTAAAAAGTGACGAAAAAAGAACATGGAACCATAAACAAAAACATTTGAAATAACAGCAAAACGGTTTTGACGTTGGCTTCAGACAAATTCCATTTTCATGCATGAAACTGATGAAACGTACCTTTGGGCAGGAGGACCGTCCATGATGATATTAATCCACAATATTTGCATCGCGTTTAACGGATTAGGAAGTTTGAGAAACGTTGAAATAGATATTAATGATATGGCTGCAATACTCCTGGAAAGACAAAAAATTAAAGTTGTTTCATAACATTTGAGGAACTTTTCAAAAGAAGTAAACTTAATCCTTGCAGTGTTGCACATTACATTCGTTGATTAGCGCCTACTCTTTCTTACAAAGCAACAATCTCCGTGGCTAAGTGGTAAGGACATTAGGAAAGTTTGACGCCATTCCATAAGTGCCCAATCCATAAGTGATACAATTTTAAACTGCCACTGAGGAGTTCAGTTTTAATTATGTTAAAAAACATCCTAAAGAGAGTTGCCGAGACATTATATTTATAAATGACTCCAAGATTCAGTATATATACACTTACGTGCTTAGTTGAAATCGCACAAAATTCTTAATATTGTAAAAAATTCCCTTCCCCTCCTCAATGGCAGACATGATTGTATTGAAATCGTCATCAACAAGGATCATCTCGGCTGCTTCTTTGCTCACATCTGTACCTATTTTACCCATAGCGATCCCAATGTCTGCGCGCCGCAATGCCACCGCATCATTCACGCCATCGCCCGTCATCGCGACCACGTGACCATGACGTTGTAGCGCCTGAAACACACGTGATCAAAGGACGATGAGCAAGGGCCTAAAACAAGACTAAAAACAAGCGAAGTTCTCTCGAGGTTCCTTCATTCAGAAGATGATGTTAAGCAAGGTATCTTTCTGAAACTTGAACCAAATATTCCCTAAATAATTGTTAACCAAGCATCTACATATTGTACCTTTACAATTGTCAATTTATTTCTTGGGCTAACTCTGTAGAATACTGATACCTAAGGAAGAAACAAAAACAATTTTTTCACAGTCTATTCATTCATCACATAAGTTTCCCGCCAAATTTCCCGCCACTTACTCTTTCAATGACATCATCGAGTTCGTGTGGTTGCAAGGCATCCATCTGCTCCCCGGACAGAACGTGGTAGCCTGGCTTATAAATTCCCAGGATTTCCGCTAAAAACGAAGCATGCCACTTTATTTCATAAGTTAGAGAGGTACAGATTAGATTCGGAGTGAACAATAGCTCCGACATAAAGTGCAAACCGAAATAAAGTGTATTTCAAGAGATATTTCAAGAAGTTATTGCAGTATTAAATACTTACGTGGTATACCTACAAGCTAATTTACTTACTTAGATATACTTAGATTTAGTTGTTTAAACAGAGGAATGGATATGTATTTATTAACTAGTCCCAGTCCTTTCCCCCCATTACAGATTACCCGGATACCGTATTAAGATCGTCTATAAAAAATGGTTAACAGCCCAAAACAAGGGCTCTCTGTTGTACGACACAAGCAGAAAAGCATCCGTTGTACCAACTGTATCATTAGGTTCCGAAATAGACCACCATTTGACCTTAATTCTCTTACCAATTGTTAGTGCAGTGTGTTGTGAATCACCCGTGACCATCTTCACCTGAACACCGCTGCGCAGTAATGTATGTACTGACTGCTCAACACCAGGTCGAGGCGGATCCAGGATTCCCATCACGCCAAGGAAAGTAAGTTGCTGAAGGCTAGTCCCGCTAGCAAAACCAATCACTAAACAAGACGAAACGGAAAAAAATTATTCCAATAAGATTAATGAAGACGAACTACTGGAAATGGTAAATTTCGACACAATGGTTTTCAACAGTATTTTTACTCATGTTGTGTTCCTTAATTCATTCGGTCAATTGCTACCTATTTCATATTAACGGGTTGTGTGTGGTATACAACCCGCGGTACATCAAAGTGAACTACATCGAGCGTGAGTTAAGAGAGCTTGGTGGTGAAAAATACATACCTCGTAAACCATGAGAGGCCATTTGGACCACTGTTTTTTGTATTCGGTCTACTTCTTTGGCTGTCAACATCGAGGATTTGTCCTCCTTTGAATAGTGAGTGCATAATTCAAGGATTCTCTCAGGAGCTCCCTTGACGTAATACAGTTCCTACACAGAGAGAATTTCTATTAGATTTCACCGCAGGAAATCATCAGTTGCTTTCCTGTCGTTTGCTATAGAATTTTGGTGAGATTCAGGTTGTACAAACCTCGTTTCCATGTCGTCTTTTCGATTTACACTTGACCGCCATCCATTTATGAACGGAACTAAATGGTCTTTCTTCCAAGCGAATATAATCTTCCCTTACGTCATGTAAGCTAAACTAAAAGAAAGACAGTTGTCTTAGCCAGAAAGGTAAATAATTTCTTGTTCTTGCCACGTAAAGCCCGCCGCGAACGAGAGCTATCAGCTGAGATAACACACTCGCGAGGCAGTTAACTCATCCCAAAAACCATCCGCATACGATAGAAACTTGCCTCTCGAGGCGAATCCTCACGAAAACTATCCGCACACGAGAGTAAATTGCTGAGTTAACAGCCCCGCGAGATCTTTAGCTCAGCTGATAGCTCTCGTGTGCGGCGCGCTTAAGAATTCAACCGTAAGACTCAATATGTAACGTATTATGGCATGTTAAACGTTGATGGTCAGAACGAATAAACGCAGCTCAATTCTTACTTTCATCGCCGCTACCAGTAAAGCTCCCTCAGTCGGCTGACCCATCAAAACACCCGCGTTGATGCTCGCATTGTTGCACAGACAACCCGCCTGAAACAGAATGGCTCGAATGAGACACGGAAATACCCTGTGCTCCGCAAGAGGAAGGCCCGTCCAAGGGACCTGACGACGTGTACCTCGAGGATCCTCCGTATCCCTGGATGATTCGAATTATCAACAACAACATCCCGCTCAACCAGTCGTCCCTGATTCAGATACGTTTCCCCGGTGGTAATCGTACCGTCGAGATCATAACCAACTCCAGAAACCTTGAAAAACATCATAAACAATAAAGAAATGTAAATATCGCGATATCTCGCTAATTTAGATGCAGTTTAAAGATTTAAGCAATTTTCTCCCGAGTTCCCACCTCGGCTAGTTTGCCATCAGCTGTGTAAATCTGCGTGACAGTCATTTCGTTTTTGGTCAGCGTTCCTGTTTTATCCGAGCAAATTACAGTAGCGCAACCTGTGAAGGTACGAGAAACTAGGATTGAAACCATGGATTGAAACCATGCAGAAAGGAAAGTGCTAGCATCTAAATCTGGCAACATTTACATCTAAACTTGCAATTCCTATGTGTATATTTGCATCAACTTGTCTAGATCGAAAATTAGTCTATAATAAATTGTCTTTAATACTGAAACTCTGAATAATATGGAGTAAACCGCTTTTTCTAATGTACTTATCGCACCCACCAAGTGTCTCGACAATTGGTAGTTTCTTTACAATGGCATTTCGTTTGGACATCTTCATAACACCCAGCGCTAATGTGACAGTTACGACAATTGGCAAGCCTTCTGGAATTGCAGCTACGGCCAGACTAAATAGAAGAAAATTTTAATCGAAATTGAACAATTTTCGTTTAACCAACCGGTATATTATATAATTTTAGACAAAATCAAGCTGGAAAGGACATTTGATTAGCCAACATTTCTTTCAACATAAAATACTTACCTCACACCAATTGTAAACATTTCTAAAATATGTCGATTTTGCATCCAACCGAGTAAAATAATGAGACCTGAAACGAGTTTATAGTAACGTGTGAAAAATCTAAGAAAGCACAAACTAAGTTTAAAAGGAGATATCAAGAATTGGGCTGCGATTATTTGTACTTCAATAAAATGCAGAGTAGATTTTTACCGATTATACACAGGGAATAAAACGACAGCTGTTTGCCCAACGAGTCCATAGTTTTTTGAAGCGGAGTCTTGGGAGGCTGGTTGAAACAAAACCGTATCATTACATTTGTTACACATAAACCGCGCGGTTGACTGGACAAGAGTCGAACAAAACAAGGCATTACTCTGGGCATTACCAGTGAACTCAAATAAGACGGCAACGCTCACTCTCTGACTTTCCCTCATTAATGAGTGAAGCCAAGATAGCGAATCACGAAGCCTTTCTTGTATGTATGATCCAGGCCTCTGGCGCGGAAATTTCAAGGGTAAATAAAAATTGCCGCCATTTTACCTACGAAATTTCCGCGTGGAGGCCTGGATCATACCTACAAGAAAGGCTTCAATGTCCGCCATCTTGGCTTCAAACTTCGGACAGAGTGAGCGTTCCAGTCTTATTTGAGTTCACTGGAGTCAAACCAAACAAGGTATTACTCATGCCCAGACTGCTCACGGTTTACTTGATATCAAGTAGCATGTGATTTTACCTCTTCAGCTTTCATAAGTTTAAAGATTTCTCCAAATTGTGTGTGTTCCCCTGTGCCCGTAACAAATCCCTACAACACAAAAATGTTGGTAAGACGACGATTTAAAGAAAGGAAAGAATAATCATGGCATTATTTTTAACATAATCAGGATTGTTGTAGGAAAAATTTGAAAGAAAGTAATCAGTCATTTCCTGTTGTTCTGTGCCTAGACCTACGCTTCGAAACTGAAGTTTTACATTATATTTTTTGCCCTCAAAAGTTTTTAAAGAATCAACGTTGACCTCTTTTGGGAAAGACTAATACTTCATTTTTGCTGGTTAATCCATATTTAATTGTCATTTATCAAACAGAACGCATCCCATGAGTGTTTTTGACCTTATAAACAGCACGCTATGCCCATATCAGACAGTTTAAGATGTTGAAGTCTCAAATACTGACCACAGTTGCATTGTTTTGTCTACTTTTAGCAAATACTAAATGCTTGTCACTTCAAACTCATAGCTGAGATGATTTCAAAAGCGGGAGTTTCATGTTTCCCAATTTTCTTCATGAGTCTCATAGTTTGTTTACAAAACTATTCATTCTTTGTACTAGGCACGGTACGTTCTTTGACTTTATACTGATCTTAGAACAAAAAATACGATTATTATGTCGCAGTCGATGTCGCTCCCGCGAAAATATTTTCGTGGGAATATGCAAATTTGTTTATCCCTTTATAACCACTTTGAATACGAAGATTTAACGTAGTTTGTACCAGTTGTATCACCTAGAACTCACTATTATCCCTATAAGTTACAATGTAACTCTGACCTTCCCCTTCCCACAGCGAACAAGTGTTCCCATGAACGCCACATTTTTCTGCTCCGTGACGCTGCCGTTAGCTACGGCTTCAGGAACACACGATGGATCTTTTCTCTGGGGTTCTGTCTCACCAGTGAAGCTAGATTCATCAATTTCTAAGTCAAGTGCCTAGCAATGAAACAGTCAATTACAGGGAGACTATTTAAAGATACTCATCCACCACATTAAAAAAAACAAAAACGCTTAGAAATCTATACCAAGAAATTTCTTGGAAACTCTTTTGCAGTATTATATAATCTTACCTCGACAAGTCTGAGGTCAGCTGGAACCCTATCTCCGGTAGATATTACAACAACATCGCCGGGAACTAAATCTTTGGCTAAAAAATTCTCTAATTTATCATCTCTAATGCTGAAAAAAAGAGCAGACCACAATTAAAAGAGAAATAATTAAATATATCTTTCAGGGCACAAGTGATACTTCCATAAGTAATTCTAAAATTTAGGCTTATTCCTAACAAAAAAATGACTTCAAAATGAGATCTCTGTTTGCCTTAATAGCATTGAATAAATGTCTATGCTTTATAAAGTTCTTTGGCAGATTAATAAAGAAATTAAGGGAATTGTTTTGAATCCAGAACAGGAGATTCATACAAGATACAATACAAGTCAATGGCATATTTACCAGTGGCATGTTGGTGGAACTAATTTTTTAATTTCTTCTACCGATTTATCAGATCTGTACTCTTGGACAAAGGCAACAGTCACAACTATTAAAACTGCCTAAAAATACAGGGATATTGAAACATATCACATGGCATACCTTTTCATGACTTACCTTCGCCAGGCAATCTCAAATTTTGAAAGTTACATGATGATAAACATACCACTGTAATGCTAACTGCATCATCTATCTGTCCCATCATAACGCTAACAATACCAGATGCCAAGAGTAATAAAATCATCGGTTCTTTGAACTAAAGAATAGATATTAATTAAGATCTCACAAGTCAAATACCAAATGTGAATCTATGCATTATTTGGTAACTATTGGACTGGCATCTCAATTCTGACTGTCAGTGGCGTAGCCAGCATTGATAATTGGGGGGGCCATATTCATATATTCATGTTAACAGACTGTAAAAACAATTGATTTGAAAAGAAATTAAACCTGCATGTCACGAATATATGAATATGGGCCCCCCAATTATTGTTCTGGCTACGCCACTGCTGACTGTTTCTCAATATACATACATAAAAGCTAACCTAAAATTCAAACAAACTAATGTTAGAATTCACATTATTATGAGAGACAGATTTTTAGTTGCTTGTATGATGAAGAAGTCTAAATTCATGGTCATACTCAAATTCAAAATATAAGATTTTGAAATAACTTCCAATCATTTGCTTTCCCTGGTACATATATTTTGAATGTTGCTGAGAATTTCAGTTCCAAAGAATAACTAAAATAGTTTAAGATTTTAAAATCTAAAAATTTGAGAAAATTATTGAAAGAATTGTGGAATCAATGTCACATTTTTAATATTGTCATGAACCCTGTAAATATTGCCCTAATTGGTGACATAATTTTTTACACCAAAAATCATAATAGGACCTTGTAAAACATCATGTGATTAATTTACAATCATGTTCAATTCTGTAAAAAAAGACACGTTTTTAACATAATAGCTATAAAGTGCGAATTTCTTTTGCTTTGTGCCTGAAACTGATTCTTGTAGAAATACGAAACTTGTCTATCATGGAGTTTTGCAGTTTGGCATCGCAACTATATTTAGTTCGGCAGACTACAAAAAAATTGTTGTTATTGATGTGATAATTTGCAACAATTTAAATATTGAAAGCGTTCTTTGAAATCGTACGCTCCTCGAAGCGAATTAATGACCGTTAACATTAAGAGAATTAAGCCTGGTTCACATATGCCTGGGGTAAGCCTGTGACGCACCGCAGGAAAATTGTGCATCCATAATAATTCTCCACCGCCGGTAGCTCGGCGTCACCCCCAACAACAAGCCATTCGATCCTGTCATGTACTAAATTTAGATAAGGCACAAGTGTATTGTGGGAAAGACTTCTACAGGCACACCGGCGGTGTGTCGGAAGCGTGTTCACATATATAAAAATAATAAAAATGTGCTACGTACACCGTCGCTTTGCCGCCGACCTGCCTGGAAAGTTGAACTCGAGTCAACTCTCCCGGCATACCGCCGGCAACTCTTGTGCCTGCCTGAGACACCGGCGATAAACCGGCGCTGAGTGTTCTCATATGCCTTAAGAGCACCGCAGACATACTTCGCAGGCATGCCACAGTCATATGTGAACCAGGCTATAGAGAATCAAAAGTATAAGCCATTGTAATCGGCTCAAACGAATCCTTTGGTCCGTTATTACTACCTGGTCCACGTATTTACGCCAAAGGGGGGTATCTGGTCCAACATCGAATTCATTCGACCCGTAAGTCCTTCGTCTTCGCTCCGCGTCGCTATTACTCAACCCAGAAGATAATCTAGACTGCAGGTTCCTCTCAACATCATCGATGGACATGCTGGACACTTTTGCAGACGATAGGAATGGCAACATTTTGTCTTCTTTTGTCTGGGGCAGTACGACTGCCTGTTCCATAAAGGTTGTCTCGCAGCTAAAGGAAGCTCTCAATTTGCGGCTAAAATCCTGGCGGAATTCAACGTTATATTTTCTGACACATACTTGACTATCATAGTCCCGTAGCAGTGTAAAGATAAGACAAACATCAGGGCAAAATACAGCTGTAAACCATGCTTAAATTCTTCCTATTTTGATGTTCATCTTCATTAAAATTACAAATCATTCACTGACTCGACAACGCGTGTTGTAAGTACTTCATCTACGATTAACATAATGTGGCTCGGTGAACGAGATTCACTTGATGATATTGTATTTTCGTTCACACTGATCTCTATCGACACACGTAGTTTGTGCAACGTGGCTCAAGGGCGGATCCAGCATTTTGGCTGACTGATGCGATGTTTTCAACGTCTCTATGAGGTCTATAATCTGCATTTCGGAATATTCGACCATGCAAAAGTCGAATACACAATATTGCGGTATATTTGACCTTATCAAGGACAATATAATAATAGCTATCGGTGTCACAGATAGCTATTAATAGTGTCATGGCAAAATGACAGCAAAACTAAAAATTTCAGGATAAAAACTTAAAAACTCCCTCAAAATATTTTACTTTTTGTAATATTGGACGCGCGCAAAATATGGAGACTGAGACCTAGTTTCCAAAAATGAGTCTAAAAATGGCGGAACTTTCAAAAGTGTTTTGTTTTGTACGAAAATAGTCTGCTTTTTTCTTGCAAAAATGAGGTAATTATTTGAGAACTTAAAGAGAAAATCATCCCACAGTTATGGACCAAGTACACGAGCTCTCAGACGCACTTCCTACGCCAAAACTCCCGATCCTTCACGTCGAGGTGAACCAAATTAACACTAGGTATGCGTATACTGTGTACGGTACATTATTATCGAAACTTGATGTACGCTGTATTGTACAATCTTTTTTTGTATGTCTCTAGCAAGTATACAAAGTAAATATCCTGTCTCTTCTTACCCCATGTAAATATAAAGAATTGCACTAGAATAACTACATTGAGTCGAATTTCATGAGTCATGAGGCTTTACGGAAATTCCTATGATATAACTGTGTTTTCTAGCACCGTTTCTCGTCAACAGTTGGGTTCAGCGGTTGCAGAACTTCTCTCAGAGGTTCAAAGCATCCACGGGGATACATGTTTTATCGAGTTCACCGACGAATATTTAAAGGAAAATGTTAAGAGTATCTGCGTTGTTTGTGATACCGATTATTTCAGCAAATATGGCCAGGTATTGGGCGACTTTGTTGTTAATAAACGAATTGTTTAATGTGTCTTACTAGTAGTTAGACTAACACAAATTAAATCTTATGTGTTGTTAACAAGAGGCATATATGGTAAGTGTCAGATCAAAAATGAAGAGTGCATGGTCAGTGGATATGATTATCTCCTGGCATTTCTATTTAATGGGTTAATGGAATGACTTGAGGTGGCAATTCTGTTCAGGTTGTACAGTTATCAAAAGCATCCTTGAGTTTTCATGTCTACCAACTCCACGATGATGAGCCTGGTTCTGAGGAGTTAGAAGATGACATATCCGCTGCAAATCATTGGATGTTACCTGCAGGTAACCAACCTAATTTGCATAGAGCAGCTATATCTAATATAACCAGTCCTCGGTTGTAGCACTGCTATAAACTGAAATACGAGTGATGACACCATGATAAGATATTTTGTATTGGTTAAAGTTTATCTTTGTCAACTATTTTGAAATGCGAAATAGAATCCTTCCTTTTCATTACATGACCAAAATCTATCCTCTTTTAGATAAGCAATTCATGTAAAAATATTTATTTTATAGAAGAATTTCATGGTTTATGGGAAAATTTGCTATTTGATTCAGATGTCAAAAACCAAGTATGTTCATATAATATACTGCCAAATTCATTACCAGGCCAATCCTAACACTTGAATTCAGTTACTATATAGAGATCCATAGCTGAGCACATTCTGCAGTTCAATGTATTCCACTGAAGCAAAATATTACATCCTCCCCAAGCAACCCCCCTCCCCTCATGCGTTCAGTCCTCTCCAGCACTGATCTCTATTGGTACCTGGACTCAATATATCTTTACTCAACCAATATTGAATCCATATTATTCCTAAATTTTCTTCACTAGCTCTTGCAATATGCCTCCACAACTCTTTTATTTTCTGACAGGTTTGTGAAAATGAGTTCAATCTAAGTGATTTCTTCCTGAATTATTATTACATTTGTGTATCCAATTGTTAGTAACAAATCATGAAATATAAATGAAATGAAATTATTTCTCACAGAGGAGTAAACACCAATATTATATCCTGGAATAAAGTTGTTTTGCTTCATGGTACGTTGGAAATGATACACACAAATATATTCGGCTGTCGATAACGCCATTTTGAAGCGGAAATTCACAGACACAGGTCTTGTACTACAGCAACGCGAGACCACCCCTGGCATATATGAAATAAAAATATAACAATTTCGGTCATAAAACCCCAACAGACTTCTTCATAAAAAGCAGGAGGCTTAATGTAACCAAATACGCGGCAAACAAGGCCAGTGAAATATTTTCCCGCCAAAATTTTAAAATCATGAATTGTTTGATTTTAAGTTAATTTTGTTCGGACGGTGATACGACTCTCGCAAAAAAAAAGGCTATTTGGCGGCTAGAAGTCCCCTGGCTCTTTTTTTGATAGTTTAAGATCGGAATCTTTGTTCATGAAATCTGTACAAATTACAATATTCTTCAGGTCCACCTGGCACAGGGAAAACCTCGCTCTGCAAAGCTCTGGCACAAAAATTGTCCATTCGACTAGCAGATAGGTAACTTAGTACTTTGGTCGAGATATTTTCTCGCCATATAGAGATATAGAACTGGTTTAAACTCCCACCGGTTTTTCATGGAAATTCACTGATTCTTCGACTGTTATTTCAGATTCCACACTGGTCAACTTATCGAGATCAATAGCCATAGCTTGTTTTCAAAATGGTTTTCAGAGGTACATCTAATGCAAAAACTATTGGCTGAAACTGGAAGTAGAAATCTCAGTGCATGTGGAATCTCTTAAGATCCTGATTTTTGTTGTCGGCTGAGAGTTTTTCAACAAATTAAACATTCCGATTTGATTGTTCAGAGTGGTAAGCTGGTGATGAAAATGTTTCAGAAAATTCAGGAATTTATCGACGATAGCCAAACATTGGTTTGTGTACTCATAGACGAGGTGGGATATAAAATAATGCGGATCTTTTGAACATTTGGCTTGCTATCTTTGAATTAAACTTCAAGTTCATCATAAACACAACAGCTTTAAAACCGGCTAAAGGTTAATATACAAAATACGCATTGCTATTTCTAGTGTATAAAAGCTTTAAGTCTTAAGATGGTATTTTCGTTCTTTCCACTAACGCTTAGGTTGAAAGTCTAACAGCAGCGCGCAAGTCTGCTTTGAATGGTCAGGAGCCATCCGATGCCATTCGTGTCGTGAACGCTTTTTTAACACAGATTGATCAAATAAAAAGGTACAACTTAACTAATGTGTTTTACACATGCATGTCTTCACATGTTCAAAAATAGTTGAGTTTTTGTATATAGTTAGAAGTCAACAGATAATAAAAAGGTCGTCATCTGGGGCCTCAGGAAATATTGCCATATTTACAGAAACAGGAATCAAATTGAATGCATCTCTCAATTTTCTTTAAGCTTGGAATAAGGAAAATCTCAGCCGAAATTGTGTAATTTGTTTCAATTTCGTTAGATATCCAAATGTTATCATTTTGACGACTTCAAATATTACTGGTGCAATAGACTTGGCCTTTGTTGACAGGTTAGAAACAAGGAGGAATTTCGTTTTGAACAAATCCGCATATTTGTTTACATTTTTCAGGCAGAGCCAATCAGAACTCCTAAATTCTTAATACTTCATGTAAAATGGCAAATGATGTAACTTCTTACCGGAAGTAGTGAAGATTAATGCATTCTGATTGGCTTACTAAAAATGTAAACAAATAAGCTGATTGGTGTAAAACGAAACTCCCCCTTGTTGCTTTAAGAAGATATACTGACGTTCAATGCTCTATACTATAGTGCTTCTCAGATGGTGTCATTTTATCTCAAAAAATGGCGGTAATTTTGTTTGATTCTCATTTGCGTAGAGCTGATATTAAACAATACATTGGACCCCCTTCGCCCAAAGCTATTTACAAAATATACCATTCGTGTATTAAAGAACTAGTCAGGGTAAGCGTTATTTATTTCTTGCTATAATCTTTATAACTAAATCAAAATCTCTTCGAAATGATATTTTTTATATCGCACAATTTCTAGACAAGCATAATATCACCAGCAACCCAAATATTAGATTTAAGGTACGAATGAAACCTTGTGTTTTTGTCAGCTTGTAAATTTCCCTTTCAGCGATGAAGAGTATAAACGTATTGTGGAAGTATAACCTGAGTATTTCGTCCCTGCGAAGTTGTCAGCTTAATTGACGACAAATCGTATTCAACGTATTATTTTTTGTGCTTGATTTTTTTTCAAAACATAGAGCCCTCGAGGTGCTTAGATTCGTCGACAACGATGTCACACATTGCAGTTTGAAATTGAAGAAAATTGCAGAGTGAGTGTGTACAATGAATGATTAAAAATTGTTTGAAAAAACTTTAGTAACTTTATTTATTCCTGTTGCAGTAAGAGTTTCCAGTTGAGCGGTCGAACTCTTCGAAAACTGCCATTTTTGGCTCATGCACTTTATTCGCAAGTACGTTGAAAAGATTTTTTATTGTATAGGTTGCATCTAGGCTCCTCCGCAGGCATCTCTTATGTAACTAAAAATATGCCTATTTGGCTTGGGCTAGCTGTGTCGGGGGAGCGAGAAAAAAATTTTCCTCACCTTCCATGACACAGCTAACGCATGCCTATTAACCTAATATACTGAATTTAATACATAAGAGATGCCAGTGGACGAGGCTAGGTTGCATCGCTTGCATAGTTTAATATTTCTACTTGAATTGAGACCACTGATTAAGACTCCTTTAGCTCATGAATAGAAACGGAAAATTCGTCTAAATTTTATATGCTTATTCGCCATCGATGAAACTCGTCATGCTTTTCGCGAAAAACCTGGGAACTAGAATGCTACAATGCTACGACGTGGAAAACATTCACTCGCCTCAGTCTTTTCGGAGTTTTTCTTCCGTCGCTGTATGGGAAGACGCTTTATATTATTAGTTAAAGTCGCTAAAAGCTCGCAGGAGACTCAAATAATTGTTTCTGGTGAACTCCGTCGCAGAGAGACGCGGCGTTGTTTAGTCTACATTTGGTAAACTGTTGTGAAAATTTGATTCCTCGTTTTCCGACAAATGCAATAGCACCTGCAGTACTTCTATAACTTTCGAAACGCCCTCTTCTGAAAACAAAAATAAGCACTGAACGATACATTTTAATAGAATGATAAATATTTTTACGCGTTTTCTTGTTTAAGAGAATATACTAATCTCTCATTGAAATGTTCTATAACGATTGTTAAACACTATTTAATTGATTTATCTTTAATTTTTTCATATTTATTCTTATAAAGTCGCAGGCAATATGTTTGGAGGAGTTTCTCGACTATCTTTCTATTGTGGTCGATAAACAGTTTGAAGAGAAAGCTAATTTATGTCCAATGGAAGAGGAAAAGAGACAGGTTGCTATTAACGGCGAAATTTAACGGTCGCTCAAGAAAAACAAAAGCACTAAGCATAAGCGATATATATAAGTAATTGAAATTGAAAGAATTTATAAATGGAATATTTTTAAATAGCTTGTTTGACTTACTGCGCTATTTTAACCTGTGGCTGTCTATTGGGGGGAGGGCCTCATGCGGGACACGCGAATAACAATATTTTTTTATAATATAACAATTATAGTACGCGCGTGCTGATTGGTCGAGAAACGTGTTTCTATAACTGTATAGAAAGGCGGGAATTTTCCCGCCGAACTTGACAAGCGAAGCAATGTAATGAGAATTTGTAATTGAATCGAATTATACTATTTGTACAAAATCTTTTTATTGAGTTATATTATAAAAGAAATAGAAATCATTTTTTCCTGTGCTTCTATACAGTTATAGAAATACTTGTGGGAGTTTGGGAGAACTCGAAATAACGTGGAAAAACTCGCCCTACGGCATGGTTTTCCCTCTGATTATTTCTCGTTCTCCCAAACTCCCACGCGTGTTTCTATAATAAGCAGGTTTGTCACAGATTAGCTATATATAAGAGCTATATATAGCTAATCTGTGACATGTTGTCTGCATCAAATCCTGTGAAACTGTGTTATTGTATGAAACGCTAGCAAAGTGATGGGAGAACTGATCGTGCGACTTGATTCAGAGGAATCTTTGACTCAGTACGAAAAAATACGAAAAAAAATATTTTGTAAGAGTTTGTGCGAAAAGACGAACGAACAAAAGTCTTCGCTGAAAACGGTACAAGGCAATACCGATGGCGATGATAATAAATACAAATTTGGTGGCGTCAATGTGAAATCCGATTTTAAAAGAGCTTGGATGTTTGGAAGAACAGCATCCTCTGTTTTTCGAATGGTGATGCTAGATGCAGTTGGTATTGACCCAAAAGCTTGTCCTGAATTTGGTCCAATTGCCATGAAGAGAAATAAAGACAATTTGTCATTTCATGTAATCAAGGGAGAAACCAACGAGAGTGATGAGTCAGCTTCGTCGCGTACATCAGAAGATCCACCAAAATTTAAACTGATCGAGGACAAGGGGAAAAAAACCGTTGCAGAGATGAAGGAGGCAGCGATACCGTATTATTCAGAATACGACTGTATGTTCCCTCCTTCCCTAATCCAATATGCAGTATTTAAAAACCGCGATAAGACCGTCAGTTTTAAAAAGACGATGCTGATCTTCAGAAAAAACCCATCAGAAACCGTGTCTTCACCTTTTTCGGAACCTCTCCTTTACCCCAACTTCAACGAAGTGATTGAAATCATCACGGATGCCAAGGCTACGATGTCTACAAAGTCAACGGATATCGACTGCTCTGTAAATGTGACATGTACTCGATATGCAATCACGAAGGAATGTCAAGAAAGTATATTGAGCGAACGTTTCTGCCATATTAAGGAAGAGTACACTGTGCAAGAATGACCCTAGAAAAAAGATGGTATCAAGAAAGAGAAAGCGAAACATGTCTGAAGAAAAGTGCGAAGGATCGAATATTAGAACGCCAGTAGTTTTTAAATCAGCATAAGCATGCATTGGCTGAATATTTTTATATTGCATTTGTAGACTTCACAGGTTCTTTTGTTTTATCTCATAAACCTTATAATCTGTTGTAGTTTATAAAATATCTTTGCATCATTTGTAACGTTTTAAATTGTTTCCTTTTCATTATTAAAGTTGCCCATATGAGTACAATAACTGATTTCTCAGAATCTATTTAGGACTTCCTTGTCCTTGATAGATTTTCCGCATTCAAATTCCCAGAAATTAATAGCTGTCGTCCATAACCGGGGGGGGGGGCAAGGGGGGTCTTGTCACGAAATCACAAACGCGTTTTTAAGATTTCACGAATCACGAAGAAGATCATTTCATTTTCACGATTTTTACGACTAGTTGACTTTGCAGCAGAGACTGGGAAATTAGGGGGAAAGCTACTGTTTTGATTATTTTACCTTTTACCTAAACTATTTTACCTAGTTTAGTTGGGGCCCAGTATTTAATCTAAAAAATTATAAATAGTGGTAAAATATTGGGGAAAATAAGATGTCTTTGCCAGCGTTTTAGGTCTTCACGAGTCACGGAACGCATTTTAATCACGATTCACGGAATGGCATTTTCTTAAATCACGCATCACAATACAGAAATGATGCTAATCACAGATCACGAAAATACCCTTGCCCCCCCTCATAACCGGTAGTCAGACTGCAGTTGTGGTCGGAAATAGTGAATGAAGGTTGCCTAGCAGTACTCATTATTCGAGCGCTGGCTGTAAATTTGCACACAAATTCGTAATGTTTACAATACAAGCGACCGTGTTCTATTAGCTGTAGTCCATAAGTCAGGCATAGCGGATTAAGGTTACTTAGCACTGCAGTACTCGTTATTCGTAATGCTTACAAAACTAATGACTTTAAAAGAATGAGATACGCTACGTTTCAAATAAATTAATTTGTAGAAAGTGCCTCAAAGGGTAACCGCTCACTAAACTACAGGGTGAGTAAAAAAACCCTGACACCTTTGAAATTCAAATTAGCCGCATAGCGGCTGCAATGCATGTGACAGAAGTTGCCTAAAATATCCCATGGGCATACGAAGCATATATTAAAAGCGTGTCGTTGTCAAATTGTCTCTATACACATTTAATAAACAAATTACTTCATGGTTGGCTCGTTTGTACGATTTTTATTATGAACTCGTTGTGAAGAATCGCAAAATCACTCTTTCGCTACGCTCACTCCTTCGTTTTGCGATCCTTCACAACTCGTGCATAAAAATCGTACGCACTCGTCAACCATGAAGTAATCTCTATATACCTCATTGAAATGTTCTATAACGATTGTTAAACACTATTTAATTAATTTATCTTTAATTTTTTCATATTTATTTGCATAAAGTCTCAGGCAATATGTTTGGAGGAGTTTCTCGACTATCTTTCCATTGTTGTCGATAAACAGTTTGAAGAGAAAGCTAAGTTGGAAGAGGAAAAGAGACAGGTTGCTATTAATGGCGAAATTTAACGGCCGTTCAAGAAAAACAAAAGCATTATGCATAAACTATATATATATATATGTAATTGAAATTAAAAGAATTTATAAATGGAATATTTTTAAATAGCTTGTTCGACTTACTGCGCTATTATAACCTGTGGCTGTCTATCGGGGGGCGGGCCTCATGCGGGACACGCGAATAACAATATTTTTTATATCACTAGTAGTAATCACAGATTAGTGATGTGCGTTCGGAATGTGTTGATTTCGGTTACCGATCATTAACAAAAATGTTAATTGTCAAGTACCCGCCGAACTTGACAAGCGAAGCGATGTAATGCGAATTTGTAATTGAATCGAATTATAAAATTTCTACAAAATCTTTTTATCGAGTTACTATTATAAAAGAAATAGAAAACATTTTTTCCATGTCAGAAAACATCTTTCTATACAGTTTTAGAAACACGGAAAATGTTTTAGTCTGCAAGCAGGCTAAAATGTTCTGAGTAATATTATATTTGTCAGTTGTTTGTTTAAAGTCGCGAATAGTTCACTCTGATTGGCCAACAATTAAGATTTTCTACTGAACACGTTTTAATTCGCATATATAAGCAGGCATTGTTGTCTGCATCAAATCCTGTGTTGTTGTATGAAAACGCTAACAAAGTGATGGGAGAACTGATTGTGCGATTTGGTTCAAATGAATCTTTGACTCGGTACGAAAGAATACGAGCAAAAAAAATTCGTGAGAATTTGTGGGAAAAGACGAACGAACAAAAGTCTTCGCTGAGACAGGTAGAAAGCAATACCGATGGCGATGCTAATAAATACAAATTTGGTGGCGAAAATGAGACATCCGATTTTAAAAGAGCTTGGATGTTTGGAAGAACAGCATCCTCTGTTTTTCGAATGGTGATGCTAGATGCAGTTGGTATTGACCGAAAAGCTTGTCCTGAATTTGGTAAAACGGCCATGAAGAGAAATAAAGACAATTTGTCATTTCATGTAATCAAGGAAGAAAACAACGAGAGTGGTGAGTCAGCTTCTTCGAGTACGTCAGAAGATCCACCAAAATTTAAACTAATCGAGGACATGGGGAAAAAAACCGTTGCGGAGAAGAAGGAAGCGGCGTTACCGTATTATTCGGAATACGACTGTATGTTCCCTCCTTCCCTAATCCAATATGCAGTGTTTAAAAACCGCGATAGGACCGTCAGTTTTAAAAAGACGATGCTGATCTTCAGAAAAAACTCCGACTCTCCATCAGAACCTGCGTCTTTACCTGGTCCGGACCCTCTCCCTTACCCCAACTTCAACGAAGTGATTGAAATCATCACAGATGCCGAGGCTACGATGTATAATAATACAAGGACAGAGTCAAGTCAGTCAACGGATATCAACTGCTCTGTAAACGTGACGTGTACTCGAAGTACAATTACGAAGGAATGTCAAGACAGTATATTGAGCGAAGCCGAAGATTTCTGCGATATTAAGGAAGAGTACACTGTGCGAGAATGACTCTAGGGAAGAGATGGTATCAAGAAAGAGAAAGTGAAACGTGTCGGAAGAAAAGTGCGAAGGATTTTGAATATTAGAACGCCAGTAGTTTTTAAATCAGCATAAGCCGCATTGGCTGAATATTTTTATATTGCATTTGTAGACTTCATAGGTCTCTTTTGTCAGCAGCGTTTGACACCGTGGATCATTCGATCTTATTGACACGATTATGGAAGCGATTTGGTATAAAGGGTCGTGTTTTGGATTGGTTTACTTCATATCTTATATCTAGGAAACAATTTGTTCGTGTTGAGGGAACAGATTCGCTATGGCGTGATCTTGAATGTGGTGTACCGCAGGGATCGGTATTAGGTCCGCTGTTATATTCATTGTACACTGCTCCGCTTGCAGATGTGGCTAGGCGTCATGATCTCCGTTTTCACTTTTTTGCTGATGATGGACAACTTTACATTGCATTCAAAACAAATGATCCTGGTGAATTGATTTCATCTAAGATTCGTATGGAAAAATGTATATTTGAAATTAGAA